ATTCAGGTATGTTTCAGATTCAACATCAGTTTCAATTCTCCTGGACTTTCTGGTATGTGATATTTAGTTGCAGATTCGAGAAGCAAAGTGTTTGAAACTTGGCAATAAATTGAAGAGGACCACCCAGTCAAGACGGACCGAATAGAAAATCCGCAAAGAGAACTGACCAGAGTATACTTTTCCGAATTCTGATGCTTATATTCGTACGGAAGGCGATATATTGAATTCCTTTCCAGATTCTCAAGCAAACAGATAGACAGATATTCACCTTTATGTCTCTATGAAAACACGACAGGTACCCTTACGAGGGGAGAGTATCAACTCGGCGTTTATAAACCCTCTCTGCAAAGGAGGTCGGCGCATGGTGGGTTAGGTATATACAGTGTTTTTCATTGCAGAGAAAATCGTTGTTTATCTGCCTACCTCGTCTGCATTGAGAGAGTTGATGAATTGATGAATAATCATAAAAATATATCGCATTTCAGTTACGAATGTTGATAACAATATTCAGACTTTATAGATTCATATTCTATGTACGTCTCACGATTCGAATTTCAAATTGATGCTCAGTTTTAGATTCGAGCAGCAACATTGTTTGGCATTCATGTCCCTTATTATAACCCACAAAATTGAAAATGTGGAAAATGTTCACTGGGGAAACCACTTTTCGGAAGGAGAGCGAATATGAAGCAATTCAGTTACGGTTGATGGAAATATAATTCAGGTATGTTTCAGATTCAACATCAGTTTTAATTCTCATGGACTTTCTGGTATGTGATATTTAGTTGCAGATCCGAGAAGCAAAGTGTTTGAAACTTGGCAATAAATTGAAGAGGACCACCCAGTCAAGACGGACCGAATAGAAAATCCGCAAAGAGAACTGACCAGAGTATACTTTTCCGAATTCTGATGCTTATATTCGTACGGAAGGCGATATATTGAATTCCTTTCCAGATTCTCAAGCAAACAGATATACAGATATTCACCTTTATGTCTCTATGGAAACACGACAGGTACCCTTACGAGGGGAGAGTATCAACTCGGCGTTTATAAACCCTCTCTGCAAAGGAGGTCGGCGCATGGTGGGTTAGGTATATACAGTGTTTTTCATTGCAGAGAAAATCGTTGTTTATCTGCCTACCTCGTCTGCATTGAGAGAGTTGATGAATTGATGAATAATCATAAAAATATATCGCATTTCAGTTACGAATGTTGAGAACAATATTCAGACTGTATAGATTCATATTCTATGTACGTCTCAAGATTCGAAATGCTCAGTTTTAGATTCGAGCAGCACATTATTTGGCATTCATGTTCCTTATTATAACCCGCAAAATTGGAAATGTGGAAGATGTTTACTGGGGAAACCACTTTTCGGAAGGAGAGCGAATATGAAGCAATTCAGTTACGGTTGTTGGAAATATAATTCAGGTATGTTTCAGATTCAACATCAGTTTCAATTCTCCTGGACTTTCTGGTATGTGATATTTAGTTGCAGATTCGAGAAGCAAAGTGTTTGAAACTTGGCAATAAATTGAAGAGGACCACCCAGTCAAGACGGACCGAATAGAAAATCCGCAAAGAGAACTGACCAGAGTATACTTTTCCGAATTCTGATGCTTATATTCGTACGGAAGGCGATATATTGAATTCCTTTCCAGATTCTCAAGCAAACAGATAGACAGATATTCACCTTTATGTCTCTATGAAAACACGACAGGTACCCTTACGAGGGGAGAGTATCAACTCGGCGTTTATAAACCCTCTCTGCAAAGGAGGTCGGCGCATGGTGGGTTAGGTATATACAGTGTTTTTCATTGCAGAGAAAATCGTTGTTTATCTGGCTACCTCGTCTGCATTGAGAGAGTTGATGAATTGATGAATAATCATAAAAATATATCGCATTTCAGTTACGAATGTTGATAACAATATTCAGACTTTATAGATTCATATTCTATGTACGTCTCACGATTCGAATTTCAAATTGATGCTGTTTTAGATTCGAGCAGCACATTATTTGGCATTCATGTTCCTTATTATAACCCACAAAATTGAAAATGTGGAAGATGTTTACTGGGGAAACCACTTTTCGGAAGGAGAGCGAATATGAAGCAATTCAGTTACGGTTGTTGGAAATATTATTCAGGTATGTTTCAGATTCAACATCAGTTTTAATTCTCATGGACTTTCTGGTATGTGATATTTAGTTGCAGATCCGAGAAGCAAAGTGTTTGAAACTTGGCAATAAATTGAAGAGGACCACCCAGTCAAGACGGACCGAATAGAAAATCCGCAAAGAGAACTGACCAGAGTATACTTTTCCGAATTCTGATGCTTATATTCGTACGGAAGGCGATATATTGAATTCCTTTCCAGATTCTCAAGCAAACAGATAGACAGATATTCACCTTTATGTCTCTATGGAAACACGACGGGTACCCTTACGAGGGGAGAGTATCAACTCGGCGTTTATAAACCCTCTCTGCAAAGGAGGTCGGCGCATGGTGGGTTAGGTATATACAGTGTTTTTCATTGCAGAGAAAATCGTTGTTTATCTGCCTACCTCGTCTGCATTGAGAGAGTTGATGAATTGATGAATAATCATAAAAATATATCGCATTTCAGTTACGAATGTTGAGAACAATATTCAGACTGTATAGATTCATATTCTATGTACGTCTCACGATTCGAAATGCTCAGTTTTAGATTCGAGCAGCACATTATTTGGCATTCATGTTCCTTATTATAACCCACACAATGGGGAAGACCACTGATTTTTTAAAACAACATTATCGTGAACTCTATACTGAAAAACTACCAGTGAATTAATTTTGAATTTTTTCATTCATGCTAAGACGATGAAAAAAATAAATTAGTATATGTCCATTTCAAAAAACACAATTCCTGCGCCATTTGAAATTTCTTCAATTCATTGGTGTGACTGGTGCGACGTCTCAGTCCCAACACGCCTATTGTCCTTGAACTGACCAATTACACTGCAACACTGCAGAATGACGAGGTATCAGAGAGAGATAGCTACAGTTCGGCACTAATACGTCACGACTCCACCATCATATTTGGCTGTTTGAAATATCGAATGAAATATGCTGATTTCAAAACGATATAGATTCGATTCCCTTCAACTTCAACTCATAATATTGATTGTACATAAAATGTAAATCATGATTCGTCGATTGAAAGAGGTTTGCACGGATTTCTTCCCTCAGTGGTCTTCCCCATTGAAAATGTGGAAGATGTTTACTGGGGAAACCACTTTTCGGAAGGAGAGCGAATATGAAGCAATTCAGTTACGGTTGTTGGAAATATAATTCAGGTATGTTTCAGATTCAACATCAGTTTTAATTTTCATGGACTTTCTGGTACGTGATATTTAGTTGCAGATCCGAGAAGCAAAGTGTTTGAAACTTGGCAATAAATTGAAGAGGACCACCCAGTCAAGACGGACCGAATAGAAAATCCGCAAAGAGAACTGACCAGAGTATACTTTTCAGAATTCTGATCCTTATAATCGTACGGAAGGCGATATATTGAATTCCTTTCCAGATTCTCAAGCAAACAGATAGACAGATATTCACCTTTATGTCTCTATGGAAACACGACAGGTACCCTTACGAGGGGAGAGTATCAACTCGGCGTTTATAAACCCTCTCTGCAAAGGAGGTCGGCGCATGGTGGGTTAGGTATATACAGTGTTTTTCATTGCAGAGAAAATCGTTGTTTATCTGCCTACCTCGTCTGCATTGAGAGAGTTGATGAATTGATGAATAATCATAAAAATATATCGCATTTCAGTTACGAATGTTGAGAACAATATTCAGACTTTATAGATTTATATTCTATGCACGTCTCACGGTTCAAATTTCAAATTGATGCTTAGTTTTAGATCCGAGCAGCACACTGTTTGGCATTCATGGTCCTTATTATAACTTACGAAATTCGAAATGTAGCAGATGTCTACTGGGAAGACCACTATTCGGAAGGAGAGCGAACATGAAGCAATTCAGTTACGGTTGTTGGAAATATTATTCAGGTATGTTTCAGATTCAACATCAGTTTTAATTCTCATGGACTTACTAATATGTGATATTTAGTTGCAGACCCGAAAAGCAAAGTGTTTGATACTTGTGTCAAGACAGACCGAACAGAAAATCCGCAAAAGAACTGACCAGAGTATACTTTCAAGAATTCTAATCCTTATGTTCGTACGGAAGCCGATATATTGAATTCCATTCCGGATTCTCAAGCAAACTGATAGACAGATATTCACCTTTATGTCTCTATTGAAACACGACAGGTACCCTTATGAGGGGAGAGTATCAACTCTGCGTTTATAAAACCTCTCTACAAAGGACTGCAAAGGCGCATGGTGGGTTAGGTATATACAGTGTTTTTCATTGCAGAGAAAATCTTTGTTAATCTGCCTACCTCGTCTGCATTGGGAGAGGATGAATAATCATGGAAATATATCGCGTTTCAGTTGGTTATACAGAATTGTAGGAATCAAGGTAAAATGTTTTTATTCTGCTCATGTATAGCTGTATTTTAACTTAATAGTTTTGGAAGTATATGCAATCTAAATTGGCTCTCATCACTATAGAAATAATACTACAATGATAGGAATCTATAAAATCCTATGCAGGATATCATGAATATCATCTTCATATATTTCTTAGAAGGCAAGCATTTCAAATAGAACCATAAAATACTGACCTGCACATTTTTCCAATGTAATCTTTCTTGCCCACACTTGTGTATTGCAATTCAAAAATACATTATCACAATAGGTATTTGAATGAGAAAGGGACATACTTATTTTTCCTAGTCCTAGTTTCTGGAGACCTCATCAGAAACTTACCATGTATTTATATTTCATTGTACTGCATATTTGATTCTTTTTTCCTCTAAAAACATTTCATGTTTCTTGGGACGAATAAATGTTATTATTATTATTATTATTATGTAGATGAATAAATAAATACCTGGGCGACAACTTTGAATCCCGTAAAGATCCGCCTCTCTGGCGTCCCTTGAAGTCCTTCTCCGCATGCGAGCTCTTCTCGAACATGGACTGCTGTCTCACGTTCTTAATAGGCCGCGAAATGATGGGCGACTCCGCCTCGGAAGTCTCCAAATCATTATCAAAGAATTTACCGACCACAGTCGCTGGCATTCCTCTGCTCCTGGGGAAGGTTCCCGTCAAGGGTTCCTCGCTCTTAGGGCTATCTTTGGTCTTTTTCCGCGATAAAGTTGAGGCTTTCTTCGTCTCGAGCTTGGCCTCGAGGGACTTCTTCGAGATGGATTCCGGGAAGTCGCCTTGGTGCTGTTTGGTTCTGTGGGCGGCTCGGGCGGGTGCTCCCTGGTCCGGTTTGTGTCTGTGCGAGGGCTCCGAGTACTGGGAGTCTCTGCTGCGCGATCTGCGACCCGATTTGTATCGTCTTTCGCGTTCCCCATCGCTTCCACCTATCAACAAAGTCACAGATTCGCGATAGAAAATAACACGTCAAATTATTAACACAAACGAAAAAAAAAAATACTATAACGCCCTGTATCTTTTTACACAGCCATATTTTATTAAGGCATATTCGGTCCTATCGCAAATTTTTGTTCAAACAATCTGCACTTAGCCTATGCATTGTCGATCCAAATGAAAATCTAGTAGGTGACCTAGTACGCGAGGAGGTACAATAAGCTCTTGCCTACTAACTGCCTAACTAGGTTGTCATCTAGAACAACAATGGCATATGTCTCAATTATTATCAATTATTATAATTATTAACACGTTGATGGGCACCTATGTAAATCAGGTGTTTGGTAAAAAAAACAACTTTGGTTTTTTGCTGAATTTGTACTAATTTCAGGCCAAAAAATTATGTGAGAATGGGCCAATCATAAAATACACATTAACACAAATATTTATAAATAGTATAAATTACTACAAATGATATGGCTGTAATCGGCTGAATAACTATCGGCTAACTAATAAATCAATTGATCTTTGCCTTGGAGACATTCAAGGAGGAGAAGGAGAATACCTGTTCTGCGTAGTAAACCTGAACAAGAAAGTAGTTGAGTAGGTAGGAACTTGAAAATACATATCTTACTAACAATTACAAAAATTGGAATTAAATGGAAAATTGAATATTCTCGGCAGTCAGGGTCATCATCTGACGCAATGACATGCAAACTACGGGAAAACATTCCTAACTCCTGGCTTGGATTGAAGGTTAGACATGTTTTTCTGTAGTTTTTATGTCATCGCAACGTCAGATGATGACCTTGACTACCGCGAATTGATTTGAATAGATGTTTACCTACTTTCGTAGTTTTTCGAACAATTTTTAAAATTCGTTGGCGGGCCGCATAAATTTCGACTGCTTTACACCATTCTACGTTCAAAATCGACGGACGACTGGGTGATACCTTACAAATGCAAATAATACAAGGACGGAATAGTCCGTCGAAAATATTGAGTGTCCCAGCCAAGGGCACAGACAACGACGGGCATGTCCGTCGGTATCCGTCTACGTGTCAAGATGAACGGTAACGAACTGAAATTCTCACCATAGATGTATAGAAAGTCAAATGGTTCACTTCCGATTGGAAGGAGTTACGAAATCTCTCGATATCGCCTACTAGCGAGGTGTGGGAGAAACTTGCTAAATTTCCGAAGTTTAAAACCAAACTTACAGGCATCATGACACATTCATTCGAGTTCACATTTTCACAATTTTTTGTTTGAATGGAAACGGTGCGTTAGTTTCGACTTTCAATGGTGAATTCATGAACGACACAAAGTCCTAACTCAAAAAAATTCTGTGATAATTGTTTATTTACTCACTTTTGGTACATAAAATAGAAGGAAAGCACAGTACACTCACTCAACTAATAATATAATATCAATACCTGCTTAATGAACGACTGACTGTCTCATTTCAGAATATTTCTATTTGGAATTTGAACAAAATCATGAATGTGCCGAAAACATCAAGAAGTTGCGCCCTGTCTCTTTTGCATCCTGTCTCTTTTACGTCCTATCTCTAGATGCTTGTTATCAGCTATTATTGAATTCGTGCATCATCAACTGGACTTCTTCAGGTCCCAAAAGAAGAAGAACACATCCAAGTTTAGTTCAACTTCATAATAAGATTCGAAACGCATTTCGAATTTTTTTAAAGAAATTGTCTAACTTTCACGCCATCTATCATCGAATATGAGAACTCCAAGTTCCGAACTCGCATTCAATTGTTCATATCGAGAGCTAGTCTGACGAAACGATTGAAAAGTGGGCACACCAGAGGAATTATAAATGGTAGAATTTTTGATTGTCGACCGGCTTGACGACTGGTCGTTAGTGTCACGTGACTAATCAGAAGGACAAATACGAATGGTTTAGACCGGTCCCATGTATACAAAGACCTTCAAAACTGTAAACTTCACTGATGAATTGATAATATACCTAAAATAACCTTAAAAACAAAATATATTAGGAATTATCTATGTGATTCATTGAATTTCTCGAGACAGCCTTTGTTGAATAAAATAATAATTTTGATCAGAAACAATACACTCAAGTGAATCATCCAGTGAAGTAATGCTATTTGTGTTCAAATATAAGCAGTTTGAGTCACTTAATTCGGAAGACTGTAGATGCCCTTTCCAATTTCTTGAGCAATTTGATTGTTTCAAGGTTATACTTCATATCCTTGAACCGCATCGACCATCAAAAAGCCTGGGCGAAGTGGTCTTGGATTGGCCGACCTTGGTCTTCAATAAAAAATGTTACCATTTGAAGTTCGGTCAATGTGGTCATCAAGCAAAAACCTTGTGGTCCAAGTGGTCTCATTCTCACCTATCCCCAAGTGATGCCTGGTCTTGACGTCCCCCGTCTTCCTGTCCATCTCCGAGGCGCTGCTCGGCCGCTGCTTCCAGCCCTTCTTCGGATAGTGGGGCGCCTCCTCGGGCTCGTCGGCGTACTCGTCCTCCCACGGCGACTCTCTGCCGTAGTACCGGTCGTCGGTCTGGCGCCACTTGCTCGGGGTCGGCTCGGTTGTCGGGCGGCGGCCGGCGCCGTATCTCGGAGGTTTTCCTGCAAGAGATACACTAGATTCTAGCCATAGCACCATAGTGAGGTAATAATATTGCGCCAGGCCGTTACCACCGATAAAACAAGGCCTGCATGCTCCGTGGGTGACGTCACTTAGTCAGGCCTAACCAGCGGCTCGAAACGACAAGCGCTTATAGCGCTATAAGGCAACCGCGTATTTCGATTTTAGTTTTAAATCATTAATGAGCCGATTTTGCTTTTTTTTTTTAAGGGCTTCCGGTTGAAAGAGGATGCCAGCCGTCAACTGAGCCCTTCTTCGCATCCCATTCGATTTTATTATGGAAAAACGGAGTTTCAAAGCAAAAACCAGAATAAAACACAAATACCCACCTACAGCAACCCATTCGAATTAAATATATTGGCAAAAATTGTAGTGATTCAATCTCATTAGAGGTAAACTTCACACCTACTTATACAGGGCCCGCAGAACATAAACTTATCATGAGATTGATCGAAAGAAAATTGGGGAAAATGTATTTTAGTTTGATAGACATGCCGTTTGTTATACCTAATTACCTATATTTATCTTGGAGAATTCCTATTACCTAAAAAATTAGCCAGTGAGTGTTTTCAATTTCCTGTTGTTGGATTTTTTACCCAATTGGTCGTTAGACTTGAAACAGTAATTTTTAAGTAGAGTGTTTGTAGTACATGTTAATATAATAGTTGCAATTTGATCATTGGAATGAATTCTACATTCATTGCCACGAGGCAAATGACCGTTTTCAGAAAGAAATTTGAGAATGTATTGAGTCAGAAACCAGAGAGTCCAATGCATTCGAAATATGTTCCAAAACCCTCTTTTTCTGATTATCAAGACATTTTCCCGAATTATGTATCTCGTTTTTATCTATTTCAATTAGTAATTCCTTGATTTGATTGATATTATTAGAGATAAAAGGTGTTTTCAGATTGGCTTTTAGAGATGTTTGTATCGCTAGGTCATACAAAAATGATTCCACATTCAAAACAAAATCAATCACAACCGAATATGTAATTACGGGCCCTGGAGAATAAGACAATTTGAATAATGTGACTTTTTGCAAATCGATAATTTTGAACCACTTTTCGGGCAACTGAAAAGACTCTAATACAACTACAAATTCTTGAAATTCTGTGTAGCAAAATGATTTTTGGTAATTTTCGAATTCAGTTTTACTTTTGGTAAGTGCTTGTGCCAAATTTTTAGTCTCTAGTATCTCAAGTTCTTCATCACGACTTGTGCGTAATTTTACATCTTTCGATAAATAAGATGTCAGTTGGGAAATTGAGTGGGAATAACATCTCGTTTGAGGCTAGGAATTTTCAAATCTATTGTTACAGTTTTGACAGTTTTTGGATCGGTTGCAGTAGATGAAGTAATAATATCATCTTTATTGAAATGTGATTCACATACTTTACTGTACTTAGATGGAGTCGTAAAATCCTTGCGGTGAATTGCATGTACCCACTTTTTCGATAGTTCCTTGTCCAACGGGAAACTAAAAGCATGAACTTTCGGACCACCCACATAATTCCCCCGACAAAAGGGAACACAACACTTGTAAGGCATTGTTATTTCGCCTATCACAACACGAAATATTTCACAAAACAGTAATTTCTCCGCCAATTATTTTGATGAATAAACAACAAGAGAATTCGAGCACACGCGATTTACCTACGCCACCGTTCTTAAACAAAAACAAACTGACGATCGATCGACGCGAATGCCTTGGAAGATGGCCTGAGTATGCGACGTCACGAGCTGTTTACGTCAGAGTCTGCTGGCCTTGTTTTATCGGTGGTAACGGTCAGGCTCGCTGGGCGCGAGAAACTGAAAATTTCCGGCCGTGAGCGAAAAAAACATTTGAAATAGCGAATCACTATAGGCTTCACCAATTAATGCTTCCACAATTAATGCTTTCACAGTATTTTTTTCGATTGGTCACTTATAAAAAATGTTTAGCTGGAGAAGGGATTCGAACCCCGACCTTTCCGAATCTTCGAATTATGACTCCAGCATGCTATCTATGTTTATGATAGAACCATGTATCTACTATTTCTATATATGGCGCATCGCCTATATGATATCTCAACAAAAATGGGACCAAAATGACAGGTAATTTTTGAATCTATGAGGACGGAAAGTGGAGGATGGAAACAGCCATATTGGTTTGACAAGTTTCGTATTATTGTTTCCCTACGTCGGCATCAATGCCTATTGGTCGATTTCATTACCTATAGAGACAGAAGTTGGTCCCGCTTTGAGGACAGCTATGCTTTATACAGGGTGTTATTTAAGTATGTGGCCACACTTCAAGGGGCGATTATTTGGGTGAATCTAAGGCGAAAATTCCATATAAACATAGGTCCCGAAATGCTTTGTTGACAAGATACAGCATGTTGAAGTTGGAAGTATTGATTGTTGTTTTTCATGATTATCATGTATTAGCTGTTATAATGGCATAATTTAGTCTGGTTGATGACTGAACGAACTTGGAAAAACCTTGACGTAGGTACCTTATATACTTATCGAAAAGCCACTGTTCCAACACGTTCTCCAGATTTGCCGCCTTTGGATTTCTGCCTTTTTGGATATTTGAAAGACGAAGTATTCAAGAGAGACAATAATAACCTTGAAGAGCTGCAAGCCTCAATAACACATTGCTGCCAAAATATTGGCCCGGAAATGCTGAGGAACATTTTCGACAACAAACGGCGAAGAGTTTTGAAATGCTTGGAGAACAACAGAGAACATTTTGAACATTTGATGTAGGTTAATGAAATAAACCGTTATTTATTACTTCTTTAATAAATATTTTTGATTTGTTCCATTATTTTTCAAACTCCAATATTGGACTCTCCTTTCTTTGAGAAACATTTCCATAGTGTATGCAAAACGATAAAAAAAGATCCTGTATATGATCACTTCCTCTCTTTTTGGTCGTTAAATGTTGTTAACAGCATTAGTAGAAAGCGGAAAATGAAAAAAAAATGTTAACAGCCACTACGATGTTACGATCATTTATAGAGACCCTAAAATTGTACAAATATAAACTCACCATGTTCACTCTCATCCCAATCCGGACAACACCACCGATCCCTCGGATCTCTGGGGTCCCTAGCTTCCCTGGGATCCCTGAGCTCCCTGGCATCCCTAGGCTCTCGCCTCCTGCGATGCCGCCTGTCCTCGATCCACTCGTCGCCCCACCTGTCGCCCTCGTGCTCCCTGCTGCCCGTGCTGTGCCTGCTCTCTCTGTCGGTGTCCCGAGGCTTGTGTCGGTCGGACCAATGGAACCGGTGTTCGTCGTCATAGCTGAAATAATCTTTGGTAGAAGTCCATGGTTCCTCGAAGTGGAGTCAAGTATTAAATACTAAATGATACACGAAGTCATCTCCACGGCATTTAATGTGATTAACACATCAGAATTGGTTGGTACATGTACCAAATTGGTAAGTGGGGGTTTTTGAGGTCGGAGATCATGATTTTTTTGTTGAAATGTATAAATTCAAGATGGCGGCTTCCAAATAATTTTTTGTTTTTGTATAAATGACGATAACTCCGATGTTATCAACACAAAACTATTACTGCGACAAAAAAGCTATTTGTAACTAAGTCATAGTGAGCTATGACCTACATTTGAAAAACTAAAGTTGGTGCTAATATCTCAAATTCTAGAAGAGTTGGTATAAATTCCATATTTTTTTCGAAATCACTTTGAAAAACTGTCATGAGAATGTGAAATTCCTACTTGAATATTTTCATAAATAAAGAAGTTACGGAGGAGACATGAAAATGATCAAAATCTGTTTTTTGCGTATAAAACAAAAACGAATAGATTTTATCAGAATATTTTTTCACATTATAGTTGGCCTTGACAAACTCCACATTTGGTGTCATTTAACCGACCTCGTATCTCTCACCGTTAAGAAGATACCCATGGTGAGCATGGTAAGTGGAACACACTGTATATTACAATGGATTATTACTTTACAATGAATTGCCAAGAAGACTTAAAAAAAATATCAATACCGAAAAATTCAAGAAAGAACTCAAAAAATATTTAATCGTCTGAATTTTGTCATGTCATCCACATTGGGATCATATAACATATCAATTATTTTAATCATGCATTCACTCAAACAAGGATAAATACTATATTTTGAATACAATTTCTCATACAGAAAATGGATGAAAAACTGACCGGTGTCATACGTATTTAATACTCACTCGTAATCGTCCTCTTCGTCCCAGCTGTCCGTCGCCCGCCGGCGTCTGCGTTCGAAGGACGCCCCCCTCACGCCCACCCGCCCGTACGCCCGCCCCTCCTTCCCCCGCCCCTCCCTTGCCCGCCGCGGCTCCTCCTCCCACGGGCTGACATCACGCGAGCTCGACGAGTGGCCGCCAGCGGTCGGGGCGGCCGCGGCTGCAGGGTACGCGGGCTGACGGCGCCTGCGCGGCCGCTCGTACCGCTCGCGGTGCTCCTCTTCGTAGCTGTCGGTGGAGCGCCGGTTGGACGGGCAATAATGGACTGGAAACGATGATGGAAATTTAAATCCTTCGTTTGTGTGATATCGGGTATGATATTCGCGAGATTCACGAAGTGGGCGACATCTAGGTTACATAGCACGAACTTCAAACTGGGGGAAAACAAACTGTTGTCTATGGATAAAGTGCATAGACTACATTGCATACATCTTGCTGTAGCTGTAGTTGTCAAACTTGTCAATGACATAAAGTGTTATCACTCTTATCAGTACACAGTACATAAGCTAATGTCACTAATAGGATTGAGTGAGGATTGAGTTTGTTTTCCCCCAGTTTTGACGTGGCTTTGACATGGAACGATGAAAACCGAGCGCCACTGGTAACATTGATTCCCGCGAATACAATCTGTACATGTCTATCATGACATTTGTTGACATAAGTTACGACTCAACGGGTTAAAAGCTTGAATGCAAAGGTGTTCGTATGTCGAGACACATTTGAATCGGCTAATTCAGAGGCGTACAGTAGAGTTCCTAAATGTACTTGACACTGCTGTTTTGACGTTTTTTGTATATTAGAGTACGGACACTTGACAAGCAGTGACAATCGAACATAACCACAAACGATTTTGAAGCAAATCATGTTTTGCCAGACAAGGACAAGAATATATTTTTCGCTTATATAAAGGATCCTCGCATTTTCCTTCCTCCACAAGTCCTAGGAAGAGTACATCCATATATCTTTCTGTGTCTTTGATTTTTGTATGAGAGTACATAGGGTCTCTTCGAGTGGGTAAAAGGGTACGATAAATTGATTAGAAAATTATTTCTTCTCGAAATATTGAATGATAAGGCTGAAGGACCTCAATGGAGGTCGATATCAATTTGGTATGTACATATATACCAACGAAATACATATACTATTCCTATGAAATAAGTATATAAAGACCAAACTAACTTGGTGTGATAACTTCTCAGCAGTTTTTTGAATGGTATACCTCATATTTTTTCAATTTTCTGATTTCCCCTATGTTCTTTCAGCTAATAATGGATTTATGCTACTTCAAAATCGTTTACATTCGAAAGATGGAATTTTTGCCTCTGTATTTTCTGACAGAAAATGTCTTATTCCACAGCTATCGACAACATTTTCAAAAAGTATTACCAAAGTAAGAACTGTCCATGAAATCCAGGTTTGCACAAACTAGATAATAAAAAATTCCATATGATGCGGACTTCGACGGTGACACTGTATATCAAGTTTCTTTTCACCCCATCCCGTATACCTACTACCGATATCGGAATTAGTCATAGTGCGAGGAGATTATAGTCATACTCATACTTGTTCAGGAAATAAATCGGTTGGATGACGTAACTAATAATTAGTCATTAGGATGAGGAATCAAACCAAACAGCAGTCTCGTTATAGATTTCATCGAGTACGGTCGAGTGACATAAAAAAACTCGAAATCATTTGAGAGTGGAGAATTAAAATTTATTTTCGGTTTAGCGCCTGCATTTTCATTTGAGTTGGTGAAAGTTGTATTTTTTCAAGATGGTAAGTGTTTTTGTATATGAATATGGAGGTATTCATCACGTGGTTGGTATTTTGCTTCGTTATATTTCCATATCACGATTACAATATTTGAAATTCGCTTTGCCTATACCGGGTGACACAGACTTATGGTATATCCCCCTTTTCTACTTTGTTTCTCCAGCAATATTTCTGAAATTTGGGACAACGAATATGTTCACTAGAGGGCACTTTCTCGCATATTAGGATTTTTTTTTTCATCTTTCGGTATCACCGGAAATGACGTCAACTTTCGATTTTCAAATAATAATAGGTCTTAATAATAATAGGTCTTTATAAGGCGAAAGTGTAGTATAAAACTATTCTTACACTTCAACCTATGGAATGGAACACCCTGTATTTTATTCCATAATCGGATTGGGATTATTATAACGAAATCAACGAAACCGGGTTTGATAGGGTGACCGATGATAAGTTTTCCACTACTGTTACGAATTATATTCAATTTATTTCGAATATTTCTTCCAAATTTTATATTTGGCGAAGGCGATATATCATAGAATTTTTTTCTATAGCTACCTTCATGTCTCATGCTTATGTTCTCATACAGGGTTGCGCAAAAGTATGGAAACAGATGAATAACTTGGTAATCATAGGTCAGATTTTTTTGAATTTATGTACAGGGTGATTTCAAAACGTGGAGGATTTGAAAATGTTATCGCCAAAGTTGTCACTTTTTCAGTAATTCCGGAATTATTATCAACTTCCTTATTTCAAATAGAATACTCTGTATTTTATTGAATTTTCAGATTCTCGCTGAGATGCCCAATTCGTCGATATTTCACAATTGGGGTCTAGTGGGAATAATTACAGAAATATAAGGAGAAATTTCAACTCTAGGATACTTTTGTGTCGAGACTATTCATTATTGGTCAAAACGGCTTTCATGTCTCTACCCCAAATTTTGATATGCTGACTACTGACATGTTTAATTGACAAAAACAACAGGGTGGTTCAAGATTCAGAATTCTGATCACCCTGTATCTGTTCCAAATAAATGTCAGTAGATAGGAAATCAAAAGTTTAGTTAGGAATATGAAAACCGTTTTAACTGATAATGAATAGTTCCGACACAAAAAAATCCTAATGATGAAAAATCTTGATTTTGATCCCCCTATATCTCTGTAAACATTCTTGCTAGTCCCCAAATGTGATAGATCGATGAAATCGGATTTTCAGAGAGAATCTGACAATTCAATGAAATACAGGGTGTTCTATATTAAATAAGGAAGTTAATAATAGTTCCGGAATAACTAAAGAAGTGTCAACATTGGCAATAACATTTTCAACTCCGCCACGTTTTGGAATCGAACTGTACTTAATTCAAAAAAATCTAACCAACGGTTGCCGATATGTTCACATGTTTCCATACTTCTGCCTAACCCTGTATAACAAGTACCTTCAGGCTCAGCGGAAGTATCCCACCACCCGTCCTTGTCCCTCCTCTTCTCCAGGTACCGCTCGTTGCCGCTGCCGGAATCCCTGCTGCGCCAGCCCGGCGGCGATCCCTCCCCGAACTCCTTGGAGTCACTCGACCACGGAGACACCCCCTCCTCGCTCTGGACCGCCTGCTTCTCCGTCGCCGGATCGATGGGCGCGGAGGCCTGGTCAAATATGGCCCACGATTCTCCTGAAACGGTTTTTTTTAATAGATCCGGCTCGAAGGACCACCTGACAACCACATGTGTGTGTGTGATTAGGACATTTAATTGTCTTGTTTCATAAGTATGTATTGTATTGCCTTGAAATTCAAATATAATATTTTTGATTTCTTACTGACATTATGTATAAAGTAACCCTTCCCTTTTCTTTCCAGTAATGATATTGAATCTATTTATGACACTTGCTGTACACCACATATAAGATTCATTAGGGAGCTAAGAGTACTATTCACTTCAAAATTTCGTTTTATGATTGTTAAATAATGTTGAACGAATAATCATGAATTTTTCCCGATACTCACTGAGTATGTTATGATTCAGTTTCAAATGCTCTATATAGTATCTTCTTAGGAAAATTAATTCAACATATTATATTCTGTAAAGTAACTGGAGATTTTTATTCCATGAAAATATTCTTACCAGTGACGTCAGCAGATTTCTTCCCCACATCCGAATTACTCGCCGTATTGTCAACCTCGGGAGAACTACCGCTGACAACATCTGACAACGATCCCGAAGTCAGCCTGGTATTATTTTGGATAATCTCGGTGACTGCACAAGGGACGGGACTTTTGACCATCGTCGACTTCACAGGAGACTTCACCGGCACAATATCGATGTCAATTATGCCGTTCTTATCTTCGATCGTAGGTGTTATGTACTCGATTATAGTCGTCTGGATTGGAGCGACGACTTCCTGGTCTTTTATCTGGGAGTGTAGCTTGTTCTCCTCGTTGATGATTCCGATCGCGTCTGGTTCCTTCGTGATGGGTTCTTCTTCCTCATTTTCGTCTAGTTCGGCGATGTTTTCGATTTCGCTAGTTTGGTTTTGGTTTATTTCGTCGACTTGGGTTTCCAGTTGTTTCAGTTCTATTTCGACGATTTCTCGCAGAGCTGCATACCTTAATATTGAGTTAAATAAAAACCAGAATTTCTCTAGAACAATTCATCAACTAGTTGGCATATATTAGGATTGATATAGCTTCACGTCTAGTCCGTAACAACTTATTGGCAAAAAATGTGTAGGTATTATCTATCAGTGTCAGGAGTAATTAATTTAGAAAAGTACATAGTCATTTTTAGTTTCATTATCATAAATTACGTCTGACTGCTCTCAGATTTCGCAAGCACTTTCTTGAATGGGAATATGCTAATCAAATGATTATACATATACAAATTGTTTGTTATAAATTCTACATGATCGGTTTCAAGGTCTATTGTAACCTTTCAAAATATGGAAAAAAAAGTAAGAGATTATCGATTCTACAGATTCTTTCTCTCAATATTTCGACATTGTCATATACATACAGATTGATGTAGAATAGTTATTTATACCCCAAAGTAGTAAAGAATATTATCATTACCCAGGGACCAAGATTATATCCCCAGGCTTCAGCCGAAGGCTATAAGGTCCATTCTTTACTACCAAGGCTTTTATTGAATTTTTTTTACCACTCAATATATTCCAATCATTATAGTTCTATGAAACTGAAATATGGACCTATTGTCACTATAGAAGCACTTCTTTTCATTTCTAATTAAAATCTAGTAGCCATGACCAAGACAGCATATGACAAGTAGTTATTGATAAATATCTATTAGATATGAGTGTCATTCCTGTGAAATGATGGAAATTACCTTGGCAGAAAGAACACATACGCCCTGAAGAAGAGGAAATAACAGTAGGTTCTAAAGCTAGTGGTGAAAAAAAAATACCGGCATATAGAATTTTCAATGTATTTGAACAATATTTTCCCCAAGTAGGCGACCAGAACAAAGCTCAACAGATATACGCAACGGATGTTCAACTATTCAACTTTGTCGCTGTTCCCCTCTTGCAAGCTGACAATTTACATACAGTGTTGCCGTTTCAGCAATTTTGTCTCTATATCTAGCGTTCCCAGGGTAGGTCAATGATGTATTTGAACTCGATTTGCAACGTGTCAGAATTCTATCGTTTTTCACATTGTTCGAGCGTTCTTTTGATGCAACATGTCAGAAATTTAGCGTTTTCCACATTGTCGAAGTGTTTATCTGAAGATATGTTGATTATGTGGATCTGTGACGAGATTGACAATGGCAAAATCAAAACTGGATGATCGTAAGTTTCGGTGAATCACGAAAAAAAGTCACTCACTAGCGACTTTTTCTATAAATTTCTGAGACATTTCATTCACAGCAACTGGCAACACTTTTACGTGTCAGATGTTAGTCGGATCGTGGCATTAGTAAGCCCCTAATATTTGATATTGAAATATTTAATTTCTTGAGAATTCTAAAATGTTCACAGAAATAAAAGATTCAAACATTAAATGGTATATGTATTATATGTACTGAGATGTTGTACAGACCGTTCAGGGACACAGTGTATAATATATAATATATTGTTGTTTTGCAAGTTTTCCGAGACCAGCATGTCAGTGCTGCTTTGGATAACCTTTTCAATATTCAAAACTATGATATTAACGGTTGTTGCATTATTCGAATAAAGTTCGGGCGGATTCATTCATAGTCAACTTGATTACCTATCGGTGTTATCGGAAGGTTCCTCGTTCAAGGGCTTGAGTTCCAAATCGATGTTGCTGTTCATCGAATTCTCCATCTTCTCCTTCTCCTCCAGTATCTCTTCCGGTTCCGAGTCGATCTTTGTCTGTTTTATCTCTTCGTGCATCAGCTCCCTGAACACGGCATATCGGTCGTAGCTGGCATCGTTGCCAGTGGAAGCGGAATTATTGGAATTGCTGAAATTCGCCGCGAAGTCGGCTTGGAAAGTGGCGAAATCCGAGGTGATAGTGTTCGATACGGCAACGTCGCTCTCGGGTTGGGCGCTGCCGGATTTTATGAAATTCGATAGGAAGTTTGTTAATTGAACTAGTGTCATATTGCTTAGCTGACTGGCGGGGATGTGCAATTTGTTGGCCAGCTCGTTGAGTCCGCTCAAGGTTAGCTGACTGAGGGTGATGTCCAAACCTTCCAAGTTGTCCACGTGTTGTTGAGACTCGGCAGTAACCTAAGAGAAAGATATTCTATCTACTCACGGCATCGAAAGTAAACTCTCACTCCCTCATTTGAGGACACAAACCTGTCAATTTACTCCCACGGGAGAAAAAAATCTTCCGTGGGAGGTAGCTTGCTTCCTTGGTAGAGATATACTTAAATCTTATGAATATAAGAGAGAGAAAATATTCATGGAGTGTAAATTTCTCTTTTGATTCGAAAAGTGAAAACAAAATCCCTTGTGAAGCCGTTTTTTATTTTTTCGAAAACTGTCATCAAATGTTGACATTTCATTCATTCTGTTAGCGTAGTGGCTCGTCACTCAGCTGATAAATACTTTATGTTCTAGAACTTAAAATTCTTTTACATTCAGTTGGTCATATGTTGGGATCTTATTTACAAATTTATTAAGTGAATACTCAACATACGAATATACATTGATTTCAATACATAATAATGATAAAATATAATTCGCAAACTCCACAGTTTTCAGATCGTTGCTGGTTTTCAGTTTTCATTATTTTCCTTTTCAAGTTTTCACTCTTCAGTTTTTACATATTTTTCAATGTCACAGATAACAGAAGTCAATTCTGGGTGAGATGAGTATCCACAAAATGTCAGTTAACAATGACAAATACTTGAATGTTTATTAATTCATCCTCATATTAGTTTCAATGCAGTTTTCGAAAAAATATTGTTTGCATGTGGAATGCAAAATGCTTTTGCGTTATCAAAACGCAAAAGTATCATTTCGCATTCTGGATACAAAGATAACTATTTTTTTCTGCAACCGACACAAAAATCGTCCATTTTAATAACAAAATCAGATCTTGAATTAACGTTTCTATTATTGACACAAAAATAAATTTGTTGCTAGGCATCACATTTAGTTCCTAGGAGCAGAAGTTGAACTTTAGTTACTAGGAGCTAAATTTGAACTTCAGCTCCTAGAAACTAAAAAGGATGTACTGGAGGTCATCAAGAATGAACAACATTGTTATGGTTGGTTATTTGGGTTGGGACGTATACCTGATTTGTTTCCGATTTCGACAGATTTGGCATCTCATACCCATGCTGGAGATATAAATACACCTTAGCTAAATTCGAAATTTAGCTCCTAGGAACTAAAAAGGATGTACTGGAGGTCATCAAGAATAAACAACATTGTTATGGTTGGTTATTTGGGTTGGGACGTATACCTGATTTGTTTCCGATTTCGACAGATTTGGCATCTCATACCCATGCTGGAGATATAAATACACCTTAGTACAGTCTTTGAGTATTCACACTAGTGTATATAATCAAGGGTATAGTTGAGTATTTTTGTTTTGGTCAGGAAAGCCTTCAAGATTCACATGGTTTAGCAACATTTGATTTTAAGCCAAACACAGTGGATTATGGAGAGGAATAAATAATCGCTATTATTATTGTTGATATGCTCACTAACCTAACATTTTCCACGTCTTGTTCCTATACCTCTGGCACTGGCGCGGTATTTTCCATTAGAGCATCTGGTCCATACACAAATATGTCACTCTGTGGTTGTATTTATATTTAAACTAGAATTCGAAAATCCTTGAAAATTGAATAAACCTGCTGTTAATGCAGGTAGAATAATCTCGTAACACGGATTATTTGTTGCATTGCATTCATATGGCACGGCATTGGTGGTTACTTCACATATTTATTTGGGTTAATTGTTTCGGTTGCAGAAAAAATAGCATGTTTCATTCGGATCAAAAGTGACTTTGTTTGAATCGCAAATTTTGCTTTCGTTCGGCTTCGCAAAACGCTCCGCCTGGCAAATGCAATATTCGCTTCTCAAACAAAGTGTCACTTTTGATCCTAATAAAACAATCTACTAATTTCTACCTTGAAAAATGAAAGAGAGAGGGTGGTACTGCATTTAACCTCACCTGAGCTTGTTTCTTTGTACTCTTTTGCGGCGGCGGCAACAGTACGCCCGCCCCCTTCTCCGGAAAAGATATCGGAGTCAAATAGTCCTCCTCGCTCGAGGACACATTGAAGTGCTTCTTCGGCCTCTCCGGCGCCGCCCCTCCATCTTCAAACTTGGCCTTGCGGGCGGGCACCGGCAAGGGCGGGCTTTTTTCCGCCCCCAAGCTGTTCGGGGCGGTCTCGTACCGCTCGATGAAATCGTAGGGGGAGTCTTCCGAGTGGTAGGGCGGCCTGGGCGGCGGTTTGGAGGCCAGATCGCTGGTTTGCTTTTTGGGCGGCAACGGCGGCGGCTTGATTCATTTTATTCATTCATTTATACTGATTACAAAGAGACTAGGTCTAATAACATGTAGAGTCACTGGATGGTATCAGTTAGAGTCACTGGATGGCATTAGTTTGATGAGAGTTCGGACACAGCTGAACTTTTGTCCTTTTCTATTTTCTATAATACAATAGGTCGCGTGCACGATGGCCGACCCTGGAGGCAAAATATTGAAATACAACCTCATTCTTCTGTGAATTATTGAAACACAACCTCACTCTTTTACTTGGTTACAGAGGAATCAAAGGATTGAACTAGTTTTTCACAATGTTTTCGCATACGAATCGTGTTTTTTGCGCTATTCATTAATTCGAGCATGCCTTCGCATTGTGCTGTTGTACAATGCACAAAAAATGCAGTAAGAGACTAGAGAATATGATTTTTCAGGTAAATAGTAATCTCACATAGTTATCATTATGAAATGTTGTCATTCCTTATTAAAATTCCTTCTGCCTTCTGTCACTTCTGCAATACAAGCTAATACTGCTAATAGATTGAAAATGTCTACAACAACAATTTTCTGGCATTATTTTAGAAATTTCAAATGTATTTCTATTAGCTTCTATCGCAGAAAGAATTCCGATGAGAAATCAGAGAAATTACCAAATTTCAAAAATGAAAACTATATGTGAGTGACTATAGTAGGTACTTACTTTTGAATCATATTGTACCAACCGGATTACTTCGTCTTCCGCTGCAGTTTTTGTGCATTTCACAACAGCATAATGTGATGGCATGAGCGAATTGATGAATAGCGGAAAAATACGATTCGTATGCCAAAATAATTGTGAAAAACTATTTCAATCACTTGTAAACAAATAAGTAAAGTGACGTTTGTGTTTCAATATTTTGCCTCCAGTGTCGGTCATCTGACAGTTCTTGCACGCAACCCATGGTTCAAGTGAATAAAAGAATAAAACATATATTCTGCTCTCTGTCTTTTCAATTTCTCTAGTAGCGCCTGATTGTCAGATACGATTTTAGAAGTTATATTTTCTGTCAAATCAATCATAGCCGTAGATGGACAATGGATATAGGGTAAAAACACCCACTTCAATTTATGCCGCTCTCGGTCTGCTGACAACTGGGACAAATCTACGATTCGGGTATATTACCAAGCAGAGTGGTTTACTTGTAGTACCACTCTGTAGCGTATAGACGTAGGGGTCTGTACATGTGGCTATAGATGGCAGCGCCATACAGTGTGTGTCTCGATCTCTGAATACTACCTTAGAGCTATGCCACTAGATGGCTACAATATGACTATAACTTCATGTTATACCCTGCGTATTCGTATTTTTTTCACTTGTCATATCTTATTATTATTATTATTTCATAATTGTATGTATCCCTATTATAAACAACTATGTTTCTTGGGGTGATAAAGAAAATCAATTTGTGTATATAGATAATACCTTGATGTACATGATGTCAGTGGTGGGTCTAGGAGGGGGCTCCGGGGCACACTCGCTCTCGGAAGACACGTCCAGGCTGGGGTTCTCGTGTGCTTTCGACAGCCTGTCAAAGTGCACTTCGAAAGTGGGCTGTTTAGTAGTGAACACCGTTTTAGGGGAAGTACTCAGTGCCGATGCGTGTTTTTCTGTGCCTAGACTCATCGGGGATAGGGACCGGTTGTTGGGCGCCAATTGCAGCGAGTCTTTTCTCGCGTCGACCCCGTTTTGGTTGACAGGAAAAGCGGAAAACTCCGTTTCGAACGGGTCCTGTCTGGAGAATTCGGACTCGGGAAACGGGTCTTCTTTGACGAACGGGTCTTCCCCGAATGGGTCAGTGAAAACACCCTGTGTGCCGGCCGGCGGTGCTTTAGAGTTTGCCTGGTTGAAACTGGGGTTGAACAAAGGTTGGTCTTGGTTGGGGTTATTTGCCAATTCGTTGAGGGCTTTTTTAGGCGGGTTTTTGAGTTCTTGAAAGAAATGTTTGCGGTCAATATATGGCTTACTTCTACCTGTACCTACGGTAAAATAAAATAGGTTTTTCCGTGTATGTCAGGGTGCTAGAATTGAGAACCAAAAGAAATAGTAACTGAAAAACATCGAAAAATAAATAAAGAGTACTAACTTTGCAAAAACAATATTTTATTTTACCACAGATATCAAATAAAAAGTAATGAGAAATGATAATGAATAAAAAGCAGGTGAAATAAAATCAATAGGAACAAGTGAAAACAGCTAGAGGTGCAAACTTGAGGACATAGCGTTTTTATTTACTGCCAATTTCTAAAACGGTCTTGAAAATTATCAACTTTTTTGTTTGTGTTCAAAATTGTGTTGCATCAAATTCGTGCACGGTGTTGAATGAAATGGTGCTGAACAGATGTGATAATACAGATAATCAGACAAAGAGAAATAATTATTCAAATCCTAATGAATTATTTTGTTTTGAATAATTCCTGGACCAAACTTTGTGCTGTGAAGCAACTGAAAGTGAAATTTATATGAAAGTGGCTATTTAATAATAATAATAATTAATTGCCCTTATTCATCCTGGTGGAGTTTAGCAAGGCTACTTGTCCACTCAACCAATTTAATTCAACTCAATTCATTTCATGAATGAAAATTCCCTGTATACTGTTGTAAATACAAAATACAGAATTCCAAACCTCCATGGAAAGTGTTCAAATTTATAATGTTTATATGCATAACTTTTCAACCTAGTCATGATGAAATTAAAAACGAAGAAATGTACAAATAAGGATCAACCAAAACATACAAAACAATGAAAAAAATAATAAATCGTTAGAAGGACACAATATGATGGTAGCTTACCCAAAGGGTCCAGTTCAGTAAACACGTCAAACTGTGACATGATTTCCTTTTTCGCCTGTTCGTGCTTTTCATCTTTCATAGATTCTGGTACAGGGGAAGTATCCTCAAAAATGCTATTTCCTGCCGATGGCGTGAACCAATCTCCACTACTCGGTTCCTCAATCAAATCATATAAATGGAAAAATAGCCATGTTTGTGACAATTCAATTACTAGGTTGAAATTGAATCAACATTTATGTGGCAAGGAAGGCTATTAAAAAACATTCGAGTTTATTACTTATCTACAATAATTTATGAGAATTCATTGTTATTTATTTGACTTTTATATTTAGAATAGATCTAAAGAATTTATTTAGTAACAAGTTCCTCATCACTCACGAATATTTCTTCAATATCTTCAAGATAACACACGAGAATAACACTAGATTGATGAATTACAAAAACCATAAAAATAATATTTTCGATGCGATCTCTATCAAATTTTATGACAATCTTCCACAAGAGATGAAGTAACTGGGTGGAATATCATGTTATACGATTTGGTTTTTGTGGAAAACTTCACAAACGATCAGATTTCCACAAACTTCTCAAAAGCATATGTGATGTTCGTGAATGCAGGGTTTAAACGTTCTACCTGTCTGACCAATATACAAGCCGTATTTCCTATGTCCTATCATTATTTGCATCTTGAAAATGATGAATGATACAAAGTTGGTTAAATTAGACAAAACTTGCCAATTTTAGTGAACAATGAAATGATCTTTCCAAATCGGTAATATCACAAACTGTTTTCAAAATACAGGGGCTGAACCGAAATGACTGGTTTTCTATTAATGATCTGAAATAGCTCAAGATCTTTAATCTTGATCTTGTCCTAAGGTCAGACAGGTAGAACATTTGACCACCACGTCCACAAACATTAGAGTCCCTGTATGGGTATATGTAAATTCGGTCCCAAAAGAATTATTAGGCCAAAAATAAGGTGTAAATTCGGTCCCAAACTTTGTTATACCTGATAGGTAAATTCGGTCCCAGGTAACATAAGAAAGGAGACTACTTTTTCCAAACAATCTGACCTATCTCGGCCTAATATATTATATAGGTATATAAGTATGTAATAATATAAGGAAGGAAAATATCCTTTCTGCATAAGGAGACTACTTTTTCTAAACAATCTGACCTAACTCGGCCTAATATATTATATAGGTATATAAGTAGGTTATAATATAAGGAATGAAAATATCCCTTCTGCATAAGAAGGAGACTACTTTTTCTAAACAATCTGACCTAAATCGATTAGGCAGGCCAGTATTGTAAAACCCTTAGCAATTGACATGGTTGGGATTGAATTTACTCTGGGATAAAAGGGTATAACATTTTTAATCTGCTACCTGGGACCGAATTTACCATCACCCCCCTATATGTATTTGACAGTTTTGCTGTAATAAACAAACTTCATATGAGCTTTGTAAAAAATATATTAGAGAAAATCATAATTTTGATGACAATTTCGAAATTTAACATGTAAAAAGTGAAGGAATTAAATTTGAATCATTAGGAATTATTAGAAATCAACAATCGCAAGAATTCTAATATTTTACTAAATTAATTCATGAAATTTAGGATTTGAAGATCAATGAGCATAAACACTTACTTCATGGGAGCTGTTGAAATCTTGTGAGAAAGAAAAGCCGTTCTTCTTGTCAGAGTCCTCGGTGTTGATAGTGGCGCCAGTGTGGGGCGTTTTAGGGCTGAACAGGGAACTGGTTTCAGACGTGCGACTAGATCTCTCTCTTCCTGATGAAGGTGGAGGAGGTAGAATTGGTTTCTAAAGAAATATGTACACATACATTCGGATTTGAAACTTACCAAAATATGAATCACTAAAAATATCGGGTGACACAGGAGACATGTAAGAGCCTGTAGTGTTTTTATTTGAAGAGATGAAAATTTGAAATTCACAAAGGTTATATTATCGATGATGGCGCTTCCCTTGAACCCAATGACGATGTTCTTCAACCACTTGTTCGATCGGAAGTAGACCCAACTCTTTTTTTCAAATGGCACCCTGTATATTTCTGTAGCATATCTTACTCGCCTTAAAATTCTCTATTCAACTATGTATCACAATTTTATATTCGTTCATTAATTGGCTGTTAAATTGCATTTTATTGAAATACATGAAGTTGGTTGTGGCTTCAACACAATGATATTTCGATGCTTGATAGGCTTAGAAATGCAAAGATCATTACTTAGACGATATTATCATAATATTTTCCATACCCTAATCGATTCTAGAAGATTGCCAATAATTTCATTGAGTTCAAAAAAACATCCGAAAATAACTCACGATATTGAGAAAACTAAGATAGAAACTCAGTTTTTTTCATCTGGCTATTTGTAAAGAAACTATTTGTCTTTCATTTTTGCCATGTAGCCATAATATGATCATCCATATGGTTTGAAGTTGAACGATTTTCATTACAATAATTAATGCGTTTTTATAAGAACAGTCTTTCTTCTCACCCCAATGTTATTTTATTGGACAAAATTATAATTTTTTTTGTTAGACACTCCTATTATAAAGACTCCCATGTTTTTTCATTTGATATCGATTTGAAATCACCGAAATATGTGATTGAAGAAGCGTACGTTCTCTTCTACCTATTCGCGGGAATCAATGTCACCAGGTGGCGCTCGGTTTTCATCGTTTCATGTCAAAGCCACGTCAAAACTGGGGGAAAACAAACTCGATCCTCACTCAATCCCATTAGTGCCATTAGCTTGTGTACTGATAAGAGTGATAAGTTTTTAGATTTCTTGACATTAATTGTCAATATTCGATCGAAAACGCTAATAATGCCTGTTGTAGATGTTCTTTTGGCAGATATTTTGCTCTATTTAGACGGAAAAAGCCGACCAGTAGTGGAAGGAGAAGCAGTTCTCCGTGCTAATCATGTGATTTTGTGTGAGGCAGAAGACTTCAACAAAAGGCACATTTTTGCACTTTGTCTACAAACTTCGGCGATGAAATCTTCCCCACATGAAGTAAAATTTGAGTTGGGGTCCAGAGGAACTCCTGTGGAACAATGGATTTGTATTAAATTTGTTCAAGCAAAGCAGGACAATCTGGGTATTGAAAACATGTTTTAGCTGTTCTTTTATATGTCAATTGATTAGCTCGTCATAATTAGTTTGAATTGTTTGAACTATCTTCAATTCTTCACCAGTTCACTGTTCACCAAACTAATAAAAATGTTATAATGTAAAAAAATTAACCAACTCAACCATCATCACTACCAACAGTGCCAACACTTTATGTCATTGGCAAGTTTGACTACAGCTACAGCAAGCTGAATGCAGTGTAGTCTATGCACTTTATCCATAGACAACAGTTTGTTTTCCCCCAGTTTGAAGTTCGTATTATGTAACCTAGATGTCGCCCACTTCATGAATCTTGCGAATAAGAGGGCTGCCTCACAATCCTTTAGATTTTTAGAAAAATGCCATAAATAAATAACCGACAGACTGTCGTTACTTCTGTGTACCTATTGGTTTTTGTTAGTTTCATGAAATGAATAAACCATGTTATACTTAGCAAGATGTCAAGAATGAATAACTGTCAAACTAGACATTTTGTGTCAACCGTCCATTAAGCGAAATGATACTGAAAATACAACAATTTCAGTTTCATGTATCCAAATGAATGATCATATTATGGCTACATGGCAAAAATAAAAGACAAATAGTTTCTTCACAAGTAGCCAAATGAAAAAAACTGAGTTCCTATCTTAGTTTTCTCATGTTTTTTTTTCAACTCAATGAAATTATTTGCAATCTCCTAGGATCGATTAGGGTATGGGAAATATTCTGAAAATATCGTCTAAATAATGATCTTTGGATTTCTAAGCCTATCAAGCATGGAAATATCATTGTACTGGGGCCACAGCCAACTTCATGTATTTCAATAAAATGCAAATTAACAGCCAATTAATGAAGGAATATCAAATTGTGATCCATAGTTGAATAGAAAATTTTAAGGCGAATAAGATAGGCTACAGAAATATACAGGGTGTTATGTGGAAAAAAAAGTTTGGGTCTACTTCCAATCAAACAGGTATTTGAAAAATATTGTCATTGGGTTCAAGGAAAGCACCATCATCGATAACATAACCTTTGTGAAGTTCAAATTGTTATCTCTTCAAATAAAAAAACTACAGGCTGTTACATGTTTCCTGTGTCACCCGGTATAGTCAACCCGGCATGTTTTGAAACTTACAGCTGGGTAACTGATAAAGCTGTCCCCAAATGGGTCATCTTTTGCGCCGAACGGATCCGATGGAGTTATCCTTTCCATTTGATTGAGGCCCTGTTGCAGACTATTCAGTTCCAGTTCTAGATCTACCAAATCGGCCACTGCTGTTCCTGAATTTTTCGATTCATTTGAAGCACTCGCTTTAGCTTCTGATAATGATTTGATAGACACATTTGGGACGCTCTGCAACTGATTCACATCGAAAAATGATAGCATGGAGTTGAAGGATTTTTCATGAAGAAGCTGTGATCAAGGACACATTTTTATTCAACAGGGTGTCCCTAAGAGGTCTGTACAAAATCTCAACACATATTCTAGAAGTCCAAATAAGCCGATTTAGAGCATCACCTCAGTCCGAAATTGCTCAATTTCTGAGATACAGGGTGGTAAAGTTAAAAAATTAAAATATGTTTAAAAATTTATGGGCATTTTTGAACGTATCACTTCAAAAATTAGGAGTCGGGGCATTTTGGGCACGTTTTTACCTTGGCCATTAGAGGACGCTCACCAATGCACTTCCTATATGGTTTAGAATGGCCATAACTTTTATCTCAGTGTGGTTTCTTAGTTTTTTTGTTGAGGTAATAATTTTCTACACATTTTCAAGCAAAAAAGGTACACTTGTTCAAATGCACTGAAGTAAATCGTTTTCGAGATATTTCGGTTTTTAGTGTACAGGGTGATTCACCATTCTTCATTCTATATTTTTCCTTATCTCTCTTTGTAATTTCTTTATTTTTCTTTGTATGAAAAATTCTAAAGGATATATGTAATAAGTATTTTTTTTCTCTGTTTGTTCAACTACTATGTTAATATCTCATTGAAACATATAAGACATTACTTTTATTTTTACTCATCTTCTTTTGAATTGAAATTATTTAAAATGTATCCTATTCACTTGAAAGATACTCGATTTATTTACTTTTGCTAAGTCTCACGCTAGTGATTATAATTGTAATATATTAGAAATGTGGCTATCTCTTAAAATTTTGATGTAATTGCTATTATTTGTAATCTGTAACTGGATTTATTCTGTTGATTACACAATAAATGAAATAAAATAAAATAAAATAAATGACCCCCCCTCTAGCTCACTCATTTTTGAACTCATTTAAAATTTGAAAAATAATCTAAAATTATTTTTCAGAAATTTTTTTCCCGTTGCATCAGAAAATACAGGGTGCTCGTAACAAACGATCTACAGAGTACTACTCGATTTTTCAAATGGAACACCCTGTATTTCATTGTATTTTTAGATTCTACCTGAAGAGCTGATTTCATCAATGTATCACACTAGCGGTCTAGCGGTAATGATTACAGAGATATAGGGTGTTCAAAATCGAGATTTTTCAACATCAGAATTTTTTTGTGTCGAAACTATTCATTATTGATCAAAACGGCTTCTATGTCCCTATCTCAACTGTTGATTTACTATCTACCGACAATTAATTGAAACATTTACAGGGTAGTTCAAGATTCAGAATTCTGATCACCCTGTATCTGTTTCAATTATTAAATGTCAGTAGATAGTAAATCAAAAGTTGAGATACGGACGTGAAAGCAGTTTTGACCGGTAATGAATAGTTTCTAAAGTTGAAAAATCTCGATTTAGAACACCCCCCCGAGTAATACAATGAAAAATAGGATGTTCCATTTGAAAAAATCAAATAGTACCCTGTAGATCGTTTGTTCGGAGCACCCTGTATTTTCTGATGTAGCGGAAAAAAAAAACAGACAAAAAAATTAAAATGTATTTCAAAAATATTATAACATTTATATTTCGTAACCGTCACAAGTGTGAAATAAATTAATTTTTACCAATATATTGAGGAGAAATCGATAGTTACGGATATAATTGTTATCGATATATTGGTATTTTTGAAATTATACATATTTATTGGATATATCCGTATATTTATTGATTGATATATAATTAGGGACACCCTGCATAGTTGAAAATAATGCAGATCAAACATAAAAACGCAAATTTTATAATGATGAATAAATCACTCTTCATTGAAAAATGTCACTAAAAGGCTCCAAATTTCACTTTTTGTCACACTTCTTGGGGTGTGCAATATATGACTATTTGCCCTTCTTTTTTTTATAATTGGAAACTATACAGGGTGTCCGGAAATTATGCGCAAAGAATCAATTCTGCATGAGAAAACATGAAGTTTATTTCATATATACTTGGGCCCGGAAATACAATGTTTTCAAGATACAGTGTGTTCAACTTTTTAGAAAAAATCGGTTTTTTATGAATATCTCAAATTTCCTTCTAGCAATTCTCTTAAAATTTGGCAATGATGTTCTTCGTCATGAGGGGCTGATTTAGCCATAATTAAGTTGGAATTGTGAAATCCAGTGACGTCCCGGGGACACCCTACCGAATATTATTGTCAATAAAATGTGTGCCACTGATTTTTTTGAATTCTATATTTTCATATGCTAATGATTAACTAAAAATACAACATTTTGGTCTCTTGAATTGTTTTGCTATTTTGCTGTGTTTCAGTGGAAAAAAATAAATACCAATTCATTGTATAAATTTGTGGAAAATATAGCTTCAAAGACAGGGGTGAAATTAAATGTGTAAACCACGTCCATAGACGTAGAATTAGAATGAAGATTAATTTCCCTCAAATATTTTAGAATACATGTTTGACACACCTCTATTGTATCATCCAACACTACGCAAATTATCCAAACAACTCAAGAAACCAAAATGTTGTATTTCAAGTTGGTCAATAGGTTGTGAAGATAGAGAATTAAAAAAAAATCAGTGGCTCTCATTTTATTGACAATAATATTCGGTAGGTTGCCCCCCGGGACGCCACTGAATTTCATAATCACAATTGAATTTTGGCTATATCAGCTCCTCATGACAAAAAATATCATTGCCAAATTTCAAAAAAATCAGTGAAAGGACATTTGCGATATTCATAAAACATCTTATTTAAAAGTTTTTACACACTGTATGTTGAAAGCTATGCATTTCCAGACCCACGTACATATTCAATGAATTTCTTATTCTATCATGTAGAATCACCCCCTTGATTTTTTGCGCATAATTTCCGGACACCCTGTATTTACAATATACCTTGGATATATTTTATTCACGGATCTCAACAAGAAATAGTCGTTTTTTAAAATGTTTCATTTATTTAGTGAAGCATCACAAGCTGATCAATGATTCAATGATCATCCATATATCCTGCAAATATGAGATTCACTTCCACCATAGGGCAGTAAACCTGATCTTCAGACCAATTGCTAATGACAAATTGGGTAAATGAGACAAAAATAAATACTCTTCAAGTATCTAGTGAAATAATATCTTGAGGAATAGTTGGTATTTATCTCCCTTTTTCACTCACTCACTTTTGAGCTGGAAATATCAGAGAATAGGGGAGATGAGGGGTAGCAAGTTTTTTCCAAGTGCTGTTTTGCCAGCTCAATTTCTTTTTTCTTCAAAGCAAACACAACTTGGAATAGATCTCTCATTGCAATGACCACCTGAAACAATTGAATAGACCTTAGTGCAAACATATTTGTATGCCTATTTTGTTCAGTTTATGTTACCTGACTGGCTGCTTTGTCAGTTTTTATACCAAAAAATCGGTGCCCTGTATCAGGAGACCCAAAAATATAACCAAATGCACGAGAGTCTGTCATATCCTGTGCTATGAATGAAATTTTGTGGACTGGGTGATGGTATAGAGAATCCTAAAATAAGTAAATTAACAGATCTATGATTTTTCTTGATTTACCAATAGAATTGAAAATGTATAAAAAAAATACAAACCATCTAAAGAAGGAATAGGAAAGTTACAGTACAACAGTGTATTGTATCATCTTTTCTTTTTTTGTGTAATGTATTTACTTTAGGTTTAGGAACTGTCTCTCTGTAATTGGGCATTGACCTGGTCAGTATAAATAAAGTGATGATTTAACATTTACATGAAATGTTTTGACATTTCAACTGTGATGCTCAATTCCCAATAGAAAATGAGCTTATGCCATCTATAGGATTTTTGAAACCTCTTGTTCAAGTTGTTGCTGTCAATTCATTCATTAATAATTCATACAAATATACAAAACTATTCCCAATATAATTGTCATTACATATCATTATTCAATTAGGACTATTTCAAGATTGTGTTTATTATTTCCAATTATTTTCTAGGATAGCACTGATAGCAGCTCAGCTAGTAGGTATCTTTGCTTCAAAATAATGTTTAGAAGGAAATGCTTGATAGTACCTACCCAAAGAGGAAGTCAAGTTATCTCTATGAACTTAATGAACTGTAAAGTTTTAGCATAACTTGGACATCAACCCACATATACATATTTGTATAAACACAGAAGTACTGGTTTGCAAAATGTAAACATAAAGGAGTTCAATTTACTGAAAGAACTTGACTTGAATTTTGTGAAGAAAACTTACTCCAGTTTTTTCATCTCTCAATCTTAATCCATCTATGGCAATATTAATGGTTATTCTCTGTTTATGTTCTCCTGCTGCTCTGATTGCCATTTTTAGATCTGATAAGGCTTCTTGGCACATCCTGTCCCCTCTGGCCTCTGACACTTCCAGAATTCCTATCAGCTTTGCCTTGAAGCTTACCCCATCTCCCAAGAATCTGGTGGTCTCATTTTTATCTATAAACATTTGAGAATGTTTTAATAGCATCCCAAGATGGGTGGAGGCTAATTTTTGTCTACTCACATTTTAGGGGACTTGTTTTCTTACGTAAAGTTTGCATTTTTAAATCTCTATTGAATTATAATGAATTATTAGACCCATTTCACCAATCACAATTTCTTATCACATCAAATTGACTTCCCTCAACAGATTCATTTCCATCTCAGAACTTATGTACTTCACTTTTTATACAGTTTTGCCTGACTATATACTTAATTTGACTGCAAAATTTATTATATTGATTGGGGAATTCATTGATCTACCCACATTTAGGGGTGTAGCAGAATCGGGGATGCTAACTCTGCCACCGCACATGCCCAAAGGTAGAAAGGCAAATTTATTGATTCCTTCTTCCTTCAAATAGTAAATCAAAATACTGAGCGTACTGAGTATAAAAGGCGGGTGCTTCTACATTCGAAGTGCAATTTACTGAACCACTATACACCACTACACCACTTTGTTACTATGTTTTATTATGGAAAATACTAAATTAATTAAACAAACATTGTATTTGAACGCTACCGGCTGACCAACTCAACATTTCCCCATTGAAGTTTTCACTGGCTTCTAGGCATATTCACTGATTCGATAATTTCATTATTTTCTATACAAGAACTACAATATTCAATTAATTAAATATATTATCATGTCTAAATAAACAATAAACAGAAGAAACTGTCAAGTTGACAATGCATTGACGTCAGACGTCAGTCAATTCAGAGGCTAAAGAAAGAAGATTATTAGAAAACTGGGTAGGTACGGTAGTTACAAGATATAATTAGTATCTATGAATGGTGAAGGTAGCTGTGTGAAGGTGGGAGAAGTGAAACAGTAGAATTGAAGAAAATAACCTATTTTGTCATTTTTCATTATTTAAAATTTTTACAAGGATCAAGGATAGAATGAACTATATGAACTGATGTAGATGTATTCTTATTTCTTAATTCTCTAGAATATGTCTAGAATGGAATCAGTGGAACAGGGGGATTCTAAGTTTATCACATCCGGCAAAGAAAAATTTTTGTACTACAATACATTAGCAATTATTGTAAAAGCTTTAGAAGGTTCATATACCCTTATAGACTTGAGGAATGAGAACACTGTTTCTGGAAAGATAGCCAGAGTTGATGGCTGGATGAATATAGAAATGGAAGATGTTGTATTTTATGACTCAAGAGGTATTGAGTTTCAGTTGATAGATTGAACCCAATTAATTTTTTTCTTATAGGAACCAAACATGGATTTTCCCAGTTTTTTGTATGTAAGAGGAACATTCGTTATGTCCATATTCCCAAAGGCATTTCAACAACTGACCTCATTGAAAAACAATTGAATAAACTGAGCCACAGGCCTAAACACAAGAAGCCACACACCTTCAAAAAAAGCAGGGCAAATCGCTATCAACAAGAAACTGTAAATTCATTGTTCAGTGTGAGAGCACCAAAACAAACAGCCAATTGAATATTCATCTGTATTTATGGCAAAACATGTCTTAAATATTTTTCATGAAATTGTTATCCTCCTCAATAAAATGTATGATCATATTTTGTCATTTAATATTAGTTACAACCACACTACAAATACAAGCAATCTCCATTGTACTGACATCTTATAAGCTATAAGCCAAGTAATTAAATTTTGCAAGTTCTGATACATTTATGAATAAACAATCAGAAAAGCTTTATCATATTAAAATAGTTACTTATTATTCAAGTGAAAAAAGTAGATTTTAGATCAAGGTATTGTGTGCAGAGACAGACAAAAAACCATGAGCTAAAATTTAATATTGTTCCCAATACACAACTTTTTTCCGACAGAAAAAGGGCGAATCAATATCGAGATCTTATGATCTGATACTTATAGACGTGAAATTTGAAGTTTCTAACAGGAATTATACCTGCCTTGCAGTCATCTTTATCATTCTTTTGAAGTAGAAAATTGCGAACTTGAGGTTGTTTAGTATATAATTCATGTAACCGGGAAAAAAGTACCCATTTCTTTTCGTGGGATACAAGTGTCATCTTATGACTTGTCAACAGTGACAAAATGTCAAACATTTTTCCCGCCACAGAAAAATATAGCTATTTATATATCAAGGGAGGAAAGGTATCCATTTCCTCCCGTGTGTGAAGTTTGATGCACGACGCGTAGCGGAGCAATAAACACACATGGGAGGAAATGAACCTTTGCTCCTATAATATATATATATGATTTTTTCAATGAACGCATTTTTTAAATGCATCATTTTTGAAATTGTGCTTCAGGCGGTCTATATATCACTCGATCCAAATCGTTAAGGTATAGGGTGCCATGGACAATTGACGGCATTTGAACGAAAGTCAACTTGACACTTATGTCATCAGGAACTAATTGATTGATCGGCATTTGAAAGTTTTGATTAAAAGTACGTTCAGAATATGAACAAGCGTATAACATCATTGCAATTCAAAGAAGATATTATTGTTACATGTTTTATAATTGTGATAAAGACACTGATTACGCCACAGGATGCATGCTGAAGAGTTTATTTTACCTCCCACGGGAGTTAATATTTTTTCTTCCCGTGCGAGTAAATTGACAACTTTATTTCAATGAGGGAGCAAACGCCTACTTTCGATTCAGTGAGTAGATAAAACAAATTTAGATCAGTTTTGAATGCATCAAATGTATGTGATCAAGTATTTATTACATAATATTCACATCAACTCATATAGTATGGCTTTAACAATTCTGAATTCAATATGTATCAGTAAATTTCAAATAAAACTCTATATGTATTACATATTCAATTTATTGAGTTTTAATCATCTTAAAAAAACAGTCTATAAAATTCAGTAATGAGATTAGAATCCAAAAAAACCTATAAGCTGCCTCCTCTAGAACGAAGTCCTAATTGGAGGGTTGACTCTTTTTGAATATTGTAGTCAGAAAGGGTACGGCCATCTTCCAATTGTTTTCCGGCGAAGATCAACCTCTGTTGGTCTGGGGGAATGCCTTCTTTGTCTTGGATCTTAGCTTTAACATTCTCGATGGTGTCTGATAGCTCAACTTCAAGAGTGATGGTCTTGCCAGTTAAAGTCTTCACAAAGATCTGCATACCGCCTCTCAGACGTAGTACCAAATGGAGGGTGGACTCTTTCTGAATGTTGTAGTCGGACAGAGTACGGCCATCTTCCAACTGCTTTCCAGCAAAGATCAACCTCTGCTGGTCTGGCGGAATGCCTTCTTTGTCTTGGATCTTTGCTTTAACATTCTCGATGGTGTCTGATGGCTCAACTTCCAGTGTTATGGTCTTGCCGGTCAAAGTTTTGACAAAAATCTGCATACCACCTCTAAGTCGGAGAACTAAGTGGAGAGTGGATTCTTTCTGGATATTGTAGTCGGACAGAGTACGGCCATCTTCCAACTGCTTTCCAGCAAAGATCAACCTCTGCTGGTCTGGGGGAATGCCTTCTTTGTCTTGGATCTTAGCTTTAACATTCTCGATGGTGTCTGATGGCTCAACTTCAAGAGTGATGGTCTTGCCAGTTAAAGTCTTCACAAAGATCTGCATACCGCCTCTCAGACGTAGTACCAAATGGAGGGTGGACTCTTTCTGAATGTTGTAGTCGGACAGAGTACGGCCATCTTCCAACTGCTTTCCAGCAAAGATCAACCTCTGCTGGTCTGGGGGAATGCCTTCTTTGTCTTGGATCTTGGCTTTCACATTTTCAATGGTATCAGATGGTTCAACTTCCAGGGTGATGGTCTTACCAGTCAGAGTTTTGACGAAAATCTGCATACCACCTCGAAGACGGAGAACCAAGTGGAGAGTAGATTCCTTCTGGATGTTGTAGTCGGAAAGGGTACGGCCATCTTCCAATTGTTTTCCTGCAAAAATCAACCTCTGCTGGTCTGGAGGAATTCCTTCTTTATCCTGGATCTTGGCCTTTACATTCTCAATGGTATCAGATGGTTCAACTTCCAGGGTGATGGTCTTGCCGGTCAAAGTTTTCACGAAGATTTGCATACCACCTCTGAGACGGAGTACCAAATGGAGGGTGGACTCTTTCTGGATGTTGTAGTCAGAAAGAGTGCGGCCATCTTCCAATTGTTTCCCAGCAAAGATCAACCTCTGTTGGTCTGGAGGAATTCCTTCTTTATCCTGGATCTTTGCTTTGACGTTTTCAATAGTGTCAGAAGGTTCAACTTCCAGAGTGATGGTTTTCCCAGTCAGAGTTTTGACGAAAATCTGCATACCACCTCTGAGACGGAGTACCAAATGAAGGGTGGACTCTTTCTGGATGTTGTAATCAGAGAGGGTGCGGCCATCTTCCAATTGTTTTCCTGCAAAGATTAATCTCTGCTGGTCTGGAGGAATACCTTCTTTATCCTGGATCTTGGCCTTTACATTTTCAATGGTGTCAGATGGCTCAACTTCCAGAGTGATGGTCTTGCCGGTCAAAGTTTTTACGAAGATTTGCATACCACCTCTAAGACGGAGTACCAAATGAAGGGTGGACTCTTTCTGGATGTTGTAATCAGAGAGGGTGCGGCCATCTTCCAACTGCTTTCCAGCAAAGATCAACCTCTGCTGGTCTGGGGGAATTCCTTCTTTGTCTTGGATCTTGGCTTTCACATTTTCAATGGTATCAGATGGTTCAACTTCCAGGGTGATGGTCTTACCAGTCAGAGTTTTGACGAAAATCTGCATACCACCTCTAAGACGGAGTACCAAATGAAGGGTGGACTCTTTCTGGATGTTGTAGTCAGAAAGAGTGCGGCCATCTTCCAATTGTTTTCCAGCAAAGATCAACCTCTGTTGGTCTGGAGGAATTCCTTCTTTATCCTGGATCTTTGCTTTGACATTTTCAATAGTGTCAGAAGGTTCAACTTCCAGAGTGATGGTTTTGCCAGTCAGAGTTTTGACGAAAATCTGCATACCACCTCTAAGACGGAGTACCAAATGAAGAGTGGACTCTTTCTGTATGTTGTAATCAGAGAGGGTGCGGCCATCTTCCAATTGTTTTCCTGCAAAGATTAATCTCTGCTGGTCTGGAGGAATACCTTCTTTATCCTGGATCTTGGCCTTTACATTTTCAATGGTATCAGATGGCTCAACTTCCAGAGTGATGGTCTTGCCGGTCAAAGTTTTTACGAAGATTTGCATACCACCTCTAAGACGGAGTACCAAATGAAGGGTGGACTCTTTCTGGATGTTGTAGTCAGAAAGAGTGCGGCCATCTTCCAATTGTTTTCCAGCAAAGATCAACCTCTGTTGGTCTGGAGGAATTCCTTCTTTATCCTGGATCTTTGCTTTGACATTTTCAATAGTGTCAGAAGGTTCAACTTCCAGAGTGATGGTTTTGCCAGTCAGAGTTTTGACGAAAATCTGCATACCCCCTCTAAGACGGAGTACCAAATGAAGAGTGGACTCTTTCTGGATGTTGTAATCAGAGAGGGTGCGGCCATCTTCCAATTGTTTTCCTGCAAAGATTAATCTCTGCTGGTCTGGAGGAATACCTTCTTTATCCTGGATCTTGGCCTTTACATTTTCAATGGTGTCAGATGGCTCAACTTCCAGAGTGATGGTCTTGCCTGTCAAGGTTTTGACGAAGATTTGCATACCACCTCTAAGACGGAGTACCAAATGGAGAGTGGACTCTTTCTGGATGTTGTAGTCAGAGAGGGTGCGGCCATCTTCCAATTGTTTTCCTGCGAAGATCAATCTTTGCTGGTCTGGAGGAATACCTTCTTTATCCTGGATTTTTGCCTTGACATTCTCAATGGTGTCAGATGGCTCAACTTCAAGAGTGATGGTCTTGCCAGTTAGAGTCTTCACAAAGATCTGCATACCACCTCTCAAACGTAGTACCAAGTGGAGGGTGGATTCCTTCTGGATATTGTAATCAGAAAGAGTGCGGCCATCTTCCAACTGTTTGCCTGCAAAAATCAACCTCTGCTGGTCTGGGGGAATCCCTTCTTTGTCTTGAATCTTAGCCTTCACATTTTCAATGGTGTCTGAAGGTTCAACCTCTAGGGTGATAGTTTTACCAGTCAATGTCTTCACGAAGATCTGCATTCTGTAATAAAGGAAACACGTATTTTATTCAAATGTCAATATTTCAATTTCAAAATGACAATCCTACATAATGACAAAAACAATTCTGTTCATTATCATTTCATTCCATTATGCTCATAATTATCAAACAAATAGTTCCTAATAAAATGATCAGGACTACATGCTAGGACTAAAGTGGTCCAACAGGAACAGCAGATCAATTCAGAAACAGTTGAAATAGTGGGAAACAACTGATTTTTTAAAACGACATCATTGTGAGCAGTATATCAAAACACTACCAGTAAATATAACTTAAATTTTTTATTCATACTAGGATGATACAAAAAACAAATTATAATATATTCATTTCAAAACACTTCCTGCACCAATTGAAATGGTGTCAATTCATGGGTGTGACGTATTATTCCGACGCCTATTGTCCTTGAGCTGACTAATCACACTGCAACACTGCAGAATGGCAAGGTATCAGAGGAAGATAGCTACAGTTTGGAACTGATAGGTCACGGCTCCACCTTCATATTTGGCTTTTTGAAATATCGAGTGGAAAAATATGCTGTTTTCAAAACACTGATTCGATTCCATTCAACTTCAACTTATGGTTTATCTCACTTATTTTCAAAGTTAGAGATTTGCGGTATTCGCGAACGTTGGCTACTTTTTTGTGAAATTCACGATACAGCAAACAACATTTTCATAACTTGCTTCGTTCTTGAGATACAGGGCGAAATTGAAAAAGTTGCATTTTGGTACCCCCCTTGTATCTCAGCAATATTTTAACTTATCGAAAAAGTGAAAACTGTCGCTAATACATTTAATAACGTCGAATCCAGTAGCATAGTCAGATTTTTAGAATAAACTGTAATTATTCAGATATAACCCATAGTTATGTTTCTGGAATGGAACACCTTGTAAATTTTTTCATGTATTATACCAAATAATAATAATAATAATAATAATAATATAAGTTTATTCAAAAACGTTTACAAAATATACATTGGAATAAACATATAGGTAATTTGAATAAACTGGGAAAAACCTTACGAAGTTAACCTTGTAGTAAGGATAAAAAATGAATAAATGTACATAGGTCAATAAATATTTAACAATATCAAATTATCACAAGGGAAAATTGTCTCATTATGAAATGAGACAGGTATTCAATTCATAATATATGCTCTATGAGTCTATGCTTTCTGAAAATATATAACACCTATGAGGAATTTCAAGTATTAGCCATGAATATAGATAATTTCTAGTTTTTCAGTAGATATTTCATCGATGGGCCTTGTAAATATAAGGCAACATCGTCAAAATTTTCATACAACAAAGATAATCGAGGATATCAAAAATAAGAAATTTTAGGAAGCAATGTATATCCCAACCTCGTAATTTTTTGTGGATTCCATATTCAGCATCAGTAGTCACCATCGTATGAAAAATGTATATATTCAACAGGTAGGTGCCAAGTAAACATTCTATACACTCGCTTTTTTTCATAGCTGAATTTTTGTTAAAGTTGAATGTTGTTGAAATCGAAACTAGTCTGTGACGAAAAATTGTGTCAGATCAAGGTAAATATGAAAATTTGTGATATGGACAATGTTGCCACATATTTGAAAGACCCAGCAATGCAACATCCGCTGAAAAACTAGACAATTTCATACTTCATACTCAGATTATCAGTGTTATATATTTTTAAGAAGCACAAAGCACCATTGTTTCAAATATAAAAAAATATACAGGGTGTTTCATTTAAAAAAAAAACATAACTGGGTTATATCTGAATAAGTATAGCGTATTTCAAAAGTCTGACTACGCCACTGAATTCTACGTGAGAAAATGTATGAAAGGTATTTATTTTCTCGATAAGTTGAAAGATAACTGAGATACAAGGAAGTCCCAAAATGCAACATTTTCAATTTCGCCCTGTATCTCAAATACGAAGCGTTTTATGACAACTTTGATGCGGTATCGTGAGTTTTACAAAAAAGTAGTCAACGTTCGCAACCGCAAATCTCTATCTTTGAAAATAAGTGAGATATCCCTTAAGGACAACGAAAATGGGACAGCCTGTATATTAAATCTGAATCATTGATTAATCAATTGCAAGGGGTTTGAGCAGATTTCATCCCTCAGTAGTCTTCCCCATTACCAAAAAGAAAAATGCATGATTTACAAGTGGCAGGGTAGGTGAATGTAAATGATATTTTGAATGAGAATTTTGTGGAATGGAATTCCATTCAAGGAGGTCTATGTCAAAGTCAAAAATCCCAAAATTTTGCCGGATAGTTCTAAAAGCTATGCCGTTTTGTCCAAAATATACGAAAAAAAATATGTAGAATATTTGAACATGATGTTTTAATTCTAATGGCAATAACTATTTACCCAAACAGACATTCTAGAATGTTATGATTTGGCTCTGATAGTAGGTTTACTTCCAATTTATAGTAGAAATATAAATAATGGTTTACTTTCAATCTTCACAAAAAATTATGAATCATCATCAATGATTTATTTTATGACTGACTATTGTTATTGATGTCAAGAATGTCAAGATTCACTGTGTACCTATGAAGTATGATCCTATTCAATAATAATAAAAGCTGTGTTTTTATTGCCCACTTCTGGCAACACCAGTTGGACAATTTTCGTTTTAATGCCCTTAAATATCACACATCACCATCAGTGGTTGCTTTGATGGGTCAAAGGCAAAACATGGAAAATTAATTAATTCCTTTTCAAACTATTCTCATCAATCGATATTATCAGTGAAAACATTTACATGATTCTTGATTTGAGTGATCGCTTTATTGCAAACTTATTCTAGTATCACTGGTGGACTGCAATGAAAGACAGCTAATAATAATAATAATAATAATAATAATAATAATCAAATGGTCAAGGTCAACAAACTCAATGGTAGGTAATTCAATGGCATGGCTATGGAACTGGCTATGGAATATTCATACAAAACCTTTGTAACAAAATGATAATTCACTTTGGTAAAACTGCACTTATAATGTGATGGTTTTTTTTTTCGAAAATGTTTTTTGGAAAATACACGAATTTGATAATGAAAATGAAACAAACCATTAAGATATTTCACTATAAAATTACAAATATCCCCATCTTTACTGCCTGTCTATTGCACGCATTTAGAACAATTTACCTCTTTTTTCACATGTCACAATGTACATCAAAATTTTCGAAAAAAGCCCATCGCATGATGAGTGCAGTCTTACCTTCACTTTTATGGAAGTTCTTATCAAACTCTGGCAGTTGGAACTAATTTTTGATACTTGCGTTGCGAAACTTCCGAGTTGGAAGACAAAGGAAATGGCGTCAGTCAGAGCCGCACCCAAAAACATGAACACAAAAAATTAACATAGGAAAGGAAATCTTACGGTGAATTTCTGGGTAGATTGGATGTCTTCTTGATGTTGAAATATCACAATTAGAAATTTTGTTTGAAGTAACAAATGAAAAAGTTACTTAGGAAACTAGAATTGTTTTCCAATCGTGATTTTATATTTTATGAATTTTGATACTAGGTATTATATTTATTAGTGGGATGTTCAACGATAATATTCAATAAGATGGAAATAGACTCACTCACTTTTTTCTAGACTACCAGCCAATAATTGTAACAAAGGAATATATCACTAAATATCGCTTTACACTTCGAACTTTCTTCTGTAATCGAAATAGGAGTAATAAAATATGGCCGCTAGGAAATTCGCTTTTATACCTCTGTCGAAAATGACGCATCCCTTCCAGAACCCTCTACTCACGAGGTCAAGCTATCAACTTGCATACACTTTAAAAATAATCTAGAATCATGTAAATACATTGTTTTGGGGTGATAAGCTGATATTATCTTCCTATTATTTATTGCTGCCTAATATATATCAATTTTACTGAATATTCTTATTATAATAAGCTGATAAATAGAACGTTTTCAAAATATGAAATTTATTAAAGTTGGCAATGGTAATGCTGTGGAAATCGCTGACGTGTTTGTGTTTATCTTCGATTGTTTCTAGACTGTTCATTGGTTCAAAGAAAAAAATCAATGCGCAGTAAAATTTTGTATCGATTAAAAAATAAAATTAACATTATTGTTTATGTTTAAAAAGTTTAACAAAGGTCGACCATAGGTCGGACTGGTCGGACTAATCATACGATCAGCTGACACGATTATTATAGATGAATCATCAAAATTTTGCACCTTTACTGTAGGATCTTAACAGAGATGTATAGAAATAGGTATCATTTTTGATTTCTTTTGTTCTATTTGATTTTTTTTAATAACGACATACGACTTTCTGTTTATAAAAGTGATAAATTTAATTGAAAACAAATTCCACCTTTTTTCCTCTGTTTTGGATGGCGTTTAGAACAATTTGCCCTTTTTCAATGACACATTTTTTTTTGTATATGAAAGTCAACTAGAAATATAATTTTCTTGTGATTTATCCATATTCAGTGAAAAGAAGAATATCATTTGAAATAATGGCATGTGTAACATTCAAAAGCATATTTCCCTGATATTTCCCTGATATTTCCTATTGAATTTTCTATATAAAAATGAGTCATTGTAGTACATCATGAGTATATAAAGTGTCCAATGACAAAATAAGAAGAGCAAGAACAATAAAAATGCATCTAAGACAGGGGAAAAAGGAAGGCGAAATTTCGAACTTTTGTTGTTGTATTTCAACATAACTATAATGTGATTATAAACATAAGTGATCTTGTATCACAATGATGATAGATATCAGAGAACTCGTTTTTTTTTAAGAGGATACTGATACTGCCCGAAAATTCATTTAATCTTGCCTAGGTAGGTAGGTAGGTATATATTATGAAGGTACTTGTATTTTGACTTGTACCACAGTTGAGAGAATTCTCTCAACTGTGCTTGTACCTACCTAGTACCCATAGTTAGGTAGGTAATCAATTTTTGCAAAAAATTGGTTCCGGCTCGGTTGAAAAGTATGAGTGATTATACAATAACATTTTCAAGTAGATACCTATATTTTTTCCTTTTCTTAAATAAGACATCAGCAAGATAAACAAGGTAACAAAAATATATATTCTTTATTATATCTAGAGGCAACATATAAGGCATTTTCAAAAGATTATAAATCTTTGCATTTACTACACATCAACCTTTATCCTTTCCTATATGGATTATTCATGAATATACCAGATGAACTGTAACAATCCTTCCCCTAAAATTTCTATTACCAGAATTATGTCTTCATAAAAATATTTGAGTATAAAATTTATGGTATAAATAAATCAATATAATAACATCAATTTCCAAAACATGGTAAAAATAATTATCTATGATCCCGTTTCTGTATAAATATATACATTCATAAAAATAAGCAATCAATTACAAAAACTACAGTTTCTTACATTATGGCAACGAAATGTCTAATGTAAAAATCGATCAACAATAAATATAACTTTTATCAATATTCAAAATCAATTGATAATTGCACAATAGTCAAATGAAACAAAAAAAATTTCATGAAAGACCAAACAGTTTCATTGCATTGAAGGAGGTGGCAAGAGCCACTTCTTCAGGTTTCTTCTTCATGAAGGCTCCTATCATTTCAACAATGGCAGGCAAAGAGCAGGGTTCATTTCGTTGAAAGGTACAGTATCTATGTAAGAATGTCAAAGATCTGAAAAAAAATGGATATAGGATTTCCAATACACAAATTCCAGATTGAGAAAAAAATGTGACATTCAACATCCCTGAACAAGAATTGGTCACCAAACCATACATTATAATACAACATTTTTCATTGTGCTTAATATAAACATGTTTGAGAGGTAAACATTTCCTTGAAACATATGAAATCACAAGAAACTCCTAAAATAAACTATTCACAGTGGAGTCTATTTTGAGTATATACAAGGTCAATTACCATTTAAAAATAAAAATGATCTGATAATACTAAAAACGCTTTCCACTAGAAAATTTTAAGATGCTGAACATGGAAAATGATATATGTTGGGAAGTTCCATCAGAAGTTCTGGTACTTGATAATTATTATGAGGGTTTTAAGAAAAATAAAATTTGGCTGGCTGTTCAAGGATAACCCCTTGATTTATCATTTGTCATTGACCCCAATATTGTACCAGGTAATCTGTATTGACTGGAATTGGCTGGGGAATTGGTAAATAAAATGTTAAAATTTGTGCACATATAAAGTACTATTATTATTATTATTCAGTGAACTGAATTATTTGAGTGTTTATTTAGAACTAAGAAGGGATATGACCCAGATATAACTTATGATATATAATTATTATTGAGTAAACTGAATTATTTGAGTGTTTATTTAGAACTAAGAAAGGATATGACCTAGATATAACTTATCATGATATATAATAATACTAGTTTCTTTGGTCTCACCTTTCAGTTAATCCTTCTTTGACATGATTAGGCAATTTTGAGGCACGAGTATTTGGATACATGAATGGTGCATCTGTTTCTACCACCAACCTCTCCAGTGGTATTGAACCATCTTCCAATAATTTTCTGACTCCACTATCTGATTTGTCTTTACACAGGTAACCTGAAGAATATATCTATTTTAAGCAGAATCACCAAGAAGAACCAGTTAAATGGAATACTTTTTGTCTCTACACAGGTAACCTGAAGAATATATCTATTTTAAGCAGAATCACCAAGGCAAACCAGTTAAATGGTTAATACTTTTACAAAAAATTTAATTTGAAATATAACCTGTTAGTCCTATATAAAATCCTTTATCTAGATATGCTAGAGCTTGTCCAGTAGTACCAGTGAAACAATGCACAACTACAGGTGGTAATTTGGTCTGATATTCTTCCAATGCCAGCATCAAGTCATCATGAGCATCTCTTTCATGAATAAACAGTGGTTTATTGAGTTCAATGGCAAGTTCAATCTGAACAAAACAGTTAGTAAGGTAAATAAGGATACATTCTTTCAACTTACATGTTTGCGAAATACTAGTCTTTGATCTTCAGGTTCAGAAAAATTTCTGTTATAATCTAAACCACACTCTCCAATAGCTACACATTCTGGATTGTTGGCTATAAGTCTTAATTCATTCCAGGATTCTTCTGTATAAGATTTGGCATCATGAGGATGGATCCCTGCTGTTGAATACAAAATGTTTGGGTATATTCTAGTCAGTCTAAGAGCCTCTTTACTGGCTTTCACTGAAGTCCCTGTGACCATTATTTTCTGAACACCTATAACAAATTTCAAGTATTTATCAAACTATATACAACTTGAAAATCTCAATGAACCTGAATCCTTTGCCCTCTGGACCACAGAATCCAAATCTCTGCTGTACTTCTTGTTGGTCAGATTGGCACCAACATCAATAAGGATATAATTTTCATAACACTTTTCCATTTCGTTCGTTTCGAAATTTTCTGTATCTACTTGAGCTGCCATACTTATGTAATTTAATCAGTTTGGAATGATCAGTTAAATATATTTTAAATTAAAATCTAATAATAAATAAAACCAAACCCATCACAGCCTATCCTTGCGCCTTCACCCTTCACCCCGCGGTCCGCACTCCGCACGGCGCACACTCAACTAGCGGATACTTAGAAACTATCTGCAAATCGTCCCGAGTGTATGAACCAATCAGAACGATTCTAGCTATGGCGGTGCATTCAAAATGAATCGTGATTGAATCCGAATCTTTTCGAGAAAAGAAAATAGGATGAAGTGGAAAATTTCAGTCATATAAAAATATAGTATTCAACAAAATTAAATGGATTGAGTCTATTTATCCTTAACAAACTAACCTATTCCTAATTGCAATATTTTTTGAGGAAGGAAAACCAGAATGAAGTAAATACACATTGATCAATGATAAGTCAAGTTTTTCAACAAAATTGAATAAAATGAGACTGTTTATCCTAAACGCACTAACCTATTCGACATTCGATATTCTTTGAGGAAGCTAAACCAGAATGAAGTAAAGATACATTGGTGAAAAAAAGTTGTTAAAAAAAGATCAAGTTCATAGCGAATCGAACCTGGGACCTGCAGATCTGTATTGATATATGCGCGCGCATTCGGGACGATTCGCAGATGGTTTCTGTGTATCCGCTATTGCACACTCATCGCACACTGCACACTGCAGTCTGCACTGCATTACACTGGACTGGATGTGTATAGACTGCCGACCAGTCGGCAATCAGAATCAATACTTTTTTTGTGTTGCCGACCGGCGACCGTTCGGCAGACTAAGGCTATATTCCGAATTCAACTGACAGTACTGAATCTGCTGAATTTTCATTCCGAAATCAAAAAAATTGACTGAAAGTGACAGATACTTGTGAGCAGATATACTATTCATTCCAAATATTTCGACTCAACATTCTGCTGAAATTGCTGACTATCAAAAGGTAGTGTGGCTTCAGTGAACTGTCATTATTTTTGAGGGGAAAGGAATGACACATTAATTTCCGTTGTTTTTCAAACATTAAGTCTTGGCTTATCAATAATACATCAATAATATAATTTTGATATCAGAAAATGCCTGTTATTCATTTAGCTCAAGCAGGAGCATCTGCCAGATCAATGACAACTGACAAATTTCACCAGCTGATCAACTGCTGCTGATTACTGATGAAAACATGTTCCGAATTACAGCACTGTATTTTTGATTTTATATTTCGGAACACAGCTTTTCAGCAGAGTCAGTGGATCTACTGACAGTACTGACCAGTTGAATTCGGAATATAGCCTATATATACTCTTTTAGGATGCTGACATTGCCGACCGTAGACTGAAATTATCAATTTGAAAGAAAAAAACTTCTAAAAGAATGAGATATATTTACACAAACACACTAACCTATTAATGGAGCAAAAACCTGATCAAAAAAATCTTGTGAACGGACAATGGAGGAAGCAAAAAGTAGATTAGAATAAAATAAAATATCGAAAGAAAATGATGTATACTCAACCCAAACAGACTAACCGAGTCGTCGGTTAGTATGTTTGGCCACCCGTCCAAAAGAACAATCGAAAAATCCCTATAATTCTGGATTATCCAATAATCTGTCCCTAGATCCCTACACACCCTAACTTTAGCAAATGATCCCTACATGTAGGGAATATCCCTACGAGTTGGCATCACTGTAACCGACTAGTGAAACAAAAATCTGATAAAAATAAAATTGATTGATGAAAAAAAAAGAAAAAAAAACTATTCCATGGGGATTTGAACACGGGTCCACAGAAGTGACAATGTCTTAGCACAATGATGGAAGTTCTTCCATCATTCTTAGCGTTGGGCTATCAACCATTTTGGATATTTTTGTTATATAGAAAGAATGTCGGCAGTCTAAAGAAAAAGTATAGTCTGCCGATCAGTCGGCATACAATACCTTTTTTTGGTTACCGACCGATTTTATCCAAAAAGACTGGTCCGCAGTCTAGAAAAAAAGTATAGTTTGCCGACTGGTCGGCAGCCTATTCACTTTTCCAATCAATTTGACAACTGACATACATTAATGTCTTTGTCATTTGTCGTAAAACAAAAACACAACCTTACTTTAGAAGTGCCTAAATTTTTTGAACCATTCCCATCACGTGATATGTGATCGTGTTTTTTTCATGATTATTTCTTGCAATTAAATTCTGGAGGCTAAGTTTGTGTAGTGATTTAGGCTCTGAAGGATGTTTTTCCTTCCTCTCGAGACCTCGAGGCTGTCGTTTATTATTCTACGAGCGTTGTATCACGTGATCCACTGTTTGAGACTTGGAACAAGGCTAGTCTATGACAAGGATTTTCAGCAGAGACAGTGGATTAGCTGATAGTGTCAGTACTGACCAGTGACCAGTTGAATTCGGAATATAGCCGTATAAACGTAAGTTTTCCTCTCGTTCAATCTCTCAATCTGCTACTCCTACCAAAGAATAGTAGGTTAGTCACATTAACCGCTAGTGATTCTCATTCATCAGAAACCCCAGGTTCTAATATAATCTACATCTTGATGAGTGGCAGCAGATCTTCCATTTCGACTTTATACATTTTCCCAGAGTATTTGAAAATAACAAAACATAATTTTTATCGACTCATACCTCGCAGAAATGGCACTCGAATCTATTAGGTTCTGTACCAGTGGCCAGTGGCCAAAAGTAAACTTTTAGCCTCTAACAGGGTTCCTTGCAATGGACCCGCAAAAACGTCAGAAAATATCAAAAAAATCGGAACAATACAGTACTGTTCGGAACATGCTCGGTTAAAGAACAAACCTCCAACCTGTCACCAAAACCTACGTCATAGTTAAGATGTCATAGTCAAATGTCAAATGATTGTCAATTATCATCAACTTTCCCGCGCCTTCCGTTTTGTTTTTTGGTTTTCTGTTATCATTATCATTTGTGGTTATATTTTAGCGTTTTTACAATCTGAGTTTTATTATTATATCGTGAAATATCACTGAAATATTGGAAATCAATCATTACTTTAATTTGGCTTCTATCCTATACTTCCACTTTTCTTTGATTCATCAGGTAATATATGTTTGAGTACTCTAGCTTCCTTTCTTTCACAATTTAATTTTAGTATGCCATCTCCTGTACCATCAGAAGATGCTCCCAGTACGCCTCGCAGATTACGCACGGCGGCTGGAGGTTCTAGGACCCCATCTAGACAAAATGGATCTCAAACACCTTCCAGAGAACCACCTCAAACACCCACTTCAAGAACTCCTCGAAGGGGTGCCGCCACACCTAGAAGAGAGGAGATTTCTCCTGCAAAAAGCACAGCCTCTTCTACAAGGACCCCTAGAAAGGGCCGTGCAACACCTAGAAGAGAGGAGATTTCTCCTGCAAAAAGCACAGCCTCTTCTACAAGGACCCCTAGAAAGGGCCGTGCAACACCTGCTAAGAGTATGTCTTCTATGGTTGATACCCCCATGAGATGGGGAGGTGTCAGGAATGATATTGATGGCCAGAGCGAAATTCCTTCATCCCCAGCCCACAGTATTGCTCCTACTAGTCCAGGCACAGGTGATCTAGACTATAGTTTTATCTCAGCTTCTTGTAGATTAACAAATAATAATCACTTTCCATATCAGGTTTGGAACATTTTAATGGATACATTTATATCAGAACATTCCCATTAACATTGATCCTGATAATCTTATAATTACTAAAACTGCATTATCTAACAGAATCCACAAAATTTCATTCATGTAGTTCTTAAACTAAGATTTGAGAGTTTATGATTATTTAGGTTCATCTTCTTTCCCTCAGTTGATATCAATTTCACCTAGTAATGATATTGTTTTTCAAAGAGTTATTTTTCTTAGGAATATTTCTTCAACTATTTGCATTATACAGGGTGTCCCTTATGTCATGGATATAAAAAAGTTGAGATGTAGGTGGGGACATTTGCTATCAAACTAATGGTGTATGTGGTTATGAAATTGTTGATGGTTCAAAAGTTATTTAATTTTTCTAAAAAATGTGATCCATTTGGGCCATTTGAAAAAGATTAACAATCAAAAGGTTGTTTTGAATAACATTTTGGAATCTGAATCAAATGGGCAACTTTTTCTTTTAATTGTTAATCATTGTGGGTTAGTTTTTACATCTGCCAGCAGCATTTGAAAAATCAACTAAAATATTTCTTTTAATGACATCTTTCTTAGTTAATTGATATGAAGTAACACATGTCATACAATTATTTCTGGGGAAAGGTGCATCCATGCAGATGAAATTTGTAAAAGAAAAAATCACAAATGTGACATGGTTTTATTGGAATTATTTTGTTTTATAGAAATGAAAACAAATTGATGACTTTTGAACCAGCAACAATATGATAATCACATCAGTTAGTTTGATTGGAAATGACCCCACTTCTTTTGATCTATGACTTATGGGACACCCTGTATAGTGATTCTAGCCTGATTACATTGAAACCTACCACAACTTTTTAGATTGATAAAATGTATCTGATTCTCATCTAGGTTTGGCAATGAGTGAAATTGATCTGAGTTCACCTCTGAATTATGGTACACCAAGTTCCTTGGGATCTATTAGGACTCCTAGGTCTGGTATCAGAGGGACACCTATTCGTATGAGACCAGATGTTAGGTCAGATAAAAGAATTCGCCAGGTCAATGTTGGAGCAGATAATGCTGTAAGGTTTTATTTACTTTCATCAACTAATTTTGTCAGTTGAAAATCACAACTTCCATTTTAAAATTATGCATTACATTACACATTTATGATGTCATAAGCTGGTGATTTATAATATGTAGTATACATCCACATACAATAATATAATAGGTTATCAATATTTACTACAGCCCAGGTCCATAGTAGAAGCAGCAAAGTTCCACAAGAAGCATAGTATGCAGTTTGTGAAGTTACTAAATTTGCGAAATTTCTTTTAGGAGTTTTTGATATTTTTGCAATTGTACTCAGTAATTTTTGCTTCCTTGTTTCTGAGTATTTATAATTTTCATTCTACAATAATGCTTTCAAATAATGTTTTCTCATCATGTGCCACTTACCTCTAAGATTTTTAGATTTTTGAGTTGTTGACGGCAAAGAGGACACAAGTTATTCCAACTATTCTTTTCAAAAAAGGTTTGTAAACAGTCTGCACAATACCCATGTCCACAGTCTGATACTATAGGCATCATAAGGATGTTGAAACATATTGGGCAATCAGTGTTGTAAGCAAAATTAGGGTTCACAGTACCTGGAAATTTTGGTTTGATATTTGCTGTAATTGAACTTTCAGAATCAAGTACTTACTGTTTGAAGACATATCCCGTTTTTTTGCCTTGTATAATCTGAACATTATAAAACAGAGTATAGAGAAAATTAGTTTAGATATTATAAATGTTGCAATCAAATTTTCATTTTTCTCATCTTCTTTCATTCTTCAATTTCATAAAAATAATGTATAAATATAAAATATGAGATATCACTACCAGAATGGACAAAAAAGTCAAAAAGACAGTAAAAACATTTGACATGAAGTTTCTGTGATAGAAAATTATACAGGACCTTCAGCATTTAATTCCTCCAGGGCAAATATTTAGGATGCAAGTTGAAAAAAATGGAAAGACACTTTTGTTTTTAGCTTGAGGCAATTCCTGAAAGTGAAGAAACAGACTCAACTGCCCCCCATTTAGTTATATGGGGCACCAATGTCTCTGTGGCAGAGTGTAAGGCAAAATTCAAACAGTTTATACTACGTTTCATTGATCCAAATGCTGAAGTAGATGAGAGGACAGATGAAATGAACCTTAATGAACCTCTGTATTTGCAAAAACTGGAAGAGGTATAAATAAAATCAATAAAATTTGAATGCACTGATCAAGGGATGATACTTGATTTATTTTTTTAAGATTCATACTTTGGAAGAACCTTTCTTGAATGTAAATTGTGCCCATTTAGAAACATATGATGCTAACTTATACAGACAGTTGGTTTGTTACCCTCAAGAAGTCATACCTACCTTTGATATGACAGTTAATGAAATGTTCTATGAAAAATACCCAGCAGCAGTTCTGGAACATCAAATTCAAGTTAGACCTTTTAATGCTGAAAAGACAAAAAATATGAGGTCTCTTAATCCAGAAGGTAAATGATTTAGGAGGTTTTTTTTATCTCTTTAATTTTCTATTTATTTTCTACTTTGTAGATTGGTTATCGGTAAAAGCGTGTTCATTTAGTTATTATACTATTATATTCCAATTTTGACAAAAAATATCTCGGTCCCTGAAAATCGCCATATACCAATTTTGAATAGAATCAGATGATAATTACAAAACTCATCCACTATATTAGATTGGTCATCTTGAATGTCCCAATTTTGATGAAAGATAGTTTTCAACTCAGAAAACACTTACAAAACTTGTCCGCCATATTGGATCCGCCATCTGGAATTTCCCGATTTTGATGAAGGAATCATAATCTCTGACCCGTAAAACTCACCAGCTACCAACTTTGAATAGAATCGGATCATAATGATTACAAAACTCGTCCGCCATGTTGGATCCGCCATCTCAGATTTCCAAATTTTGACGAAAGAATCATGATATTTGACCCTGAAAACTCCCAGACACCAATTTTGAACAGAATCGGATCATAATCACAAAACTCATCCGCCATATTGGACCAGCCATCTTGAATTTTCAATTTGAAAAATAGTTTACCACCGATTCTCAAACCTACCAAATATTTTCAAGAATTTTTATATGAATCGGTCAAGCCGGTTCAAAAGAGTTAGACAACAAACACTGTGACATGAAAATTTTATATAGCCATTAAGTGTTCTAAAATTTTCCTATTTTCTGTGTAATTTTCTTAATTTTTTGTTTCATAAGATCCTTCTCCTGCACAAACAAAACAAAAAAAGAATCACTGAAATTGGTCCAGCCGTTCCTGCGTGATAGCGTGACCAATAAGGGATATAGGGATTCATTTTTATACAGGGTGTTTCAGAGTTGTGGTGACAAGAGACTAGGGGATATTCTCATTGATATCTTGAAAACACTTGAAAAATGCTTGCTTATTTTCCAAAAATTTATTGCACATTTTTATTTATGAAAACAAGAAAGACATAAAATTCAATACCTACTCTCTTTAAAATGTATAGGATCTTGACATTTTTTGAGAAATATTTTTTCATTTTACTGACGAAAAACTAATTTTTTTGGCACCCTATATATCTCGAGAACAAAGCATTTTTGGACCCATGGTCATATGAACTTTTTTCATCTACCCTACGCCTTTGTCACTAACTCTGAAACACTGTGTAGATAGATTGTGATAATTTATACTTGTTCCCTTGTGTCTTTTTTTTTTCAACAATTTACAGAATTTTTCTCTAAAAACATTTCAAAAAGTTTCAAAATGCTTATATGTTTTTTCTTTGTAGATCCCATGATCTCATCCAATCCTAGTTCCTTGTTGTATTATTTATTTTTAATGGGGTTCTGTGTTTCTTCATTAAGTAAACATTCTTCCAGATATTGATCAGTTGATAACTATCAGTGGTATGGTAATCCGTACATCAAATATAATGCCTGAGTTGAGGGAGGCTTTCTTCAAATGCATAGTGTGTCAATTTTCAACTACCGTGGAGATTGACAGGGGACGCATTACAGAGCCAACTTTGTGTACCAGTTGTAACACAAACCATTGCTTCACTCTGGTGCACAATAGATCACAATTTTCTGATAAACAGATGATCAAGCTTCAAGAATCTCCAGGTAAGAATTCTGCAGTGTATAAAAACCTCTGAGGTAGGAGTTGATTTCTTCATTGTGGGAATACTGGGAATTCATTAAGGAGTTCAACAAAGCAATCCTACCGACTGTGCCATCTTCTATGAATCCCCCTGAGAAATCATACAACATTTTTACAGTCACTAATTTCATTTTGAAATTATCAATTAGTTCAACAAAAATGTGAATATCATGTACCGGGTGTACCACTAAGAAAGGACGCCGGCTGTATCTCGGAAACTATTTGCCGCACAGGTTTCGGAAAAAAATATTCATGATAATAGTGGCCAAGAATATCTCTGGAAATTATTTTCAACTTTCCAGGACAGCCCCTAGAGGGCGTAATTGCATTGGCCAGTTTAATAAACGGGATTTTATGAAAATTTGATATATCGAGACATATCAAAAACACTTTTTTCATGTTCACGAGTTGATTTCCAATCATTTCATTCAAGAAAAAATTGCACAAGCTCTTTAAATGAAAGAGGGAGGAAAGGATGAATGGTACTTTGAAAAAACTCCCATTACTACAGTTTGGTGTAACGGAATTATCGATCTTGGTCCCATTATCAAGGGTTTTTTAGATCTTCCCGATAAATCATGAATCAAGTCGATTTGAATCCCGTGGTGGCCGCTAGATGGCATCGTTTTTAAAAATCAGCCGATTCGCCATTTTTTTCGAGAATTTCAAATGGAACCATATATTTTTCCTGCTATGATATGAAAATTGAGTAAACGATAAGAAAAATGGTGAAAACCGCGAGTTGATACCTCTTGAAGAACCGGAGAAATACTCGGAATAATATTAAAATTTAAACTGTTAGCATGTCAAATGCCTCCTCATTCGTTATCGGCATTTTGACAAATAAGCAATCCACAATGAACAGTGAAAACTTCCAATGGAACTTCAATTATATTTTGACGTTTCTTTCATCCAAAGTCAACTTACCTTTTCTCATTCCTGAGCCTATACTCATCACTACTTACATTTCAAATACCTATGTCATTACTAAGAGTCTCCTTCACTATTGTGAGATAGGTATAGCAGCAGTGTGTGAAACCAAAATAAATGAATTATTGAAATCATAATTTCATAGTTACAGGATATTCCTGATTACGATTATTGAAGTTAGATTCCTGTGGTGAATATTTTCATAATATCATTTCGAGTATTTCACCGGTTCCTCAAGAGGTATCAATTCGCGGTTTTCACCATTTTCCTTCTCGTTTGCTCTACTTTCATATTAGAGTAGAATGAATACATGGTTCGAATAAATGAATTATTGACATCATAATTTCATAGTTACAGGATATTCCTGATTACGATTATTGAAGTTAGATTCCTGTGGTGAATATTTTCATATCATTTCGAGTATTTCACCGGTTCCTCAAGAGGTATCAATTCGCGGTTTTCACCATTTTCCTTCTCGTTCGCTCTACTTTCATATTAGAGTAGAATGAATACATAGTTCGATTTGAAATTTTCGAAACAAATGGAAAATTGTCTGATTTTTCAAACGATGCCATCTAGCGGCCACCACAGAATTTAAATCGACTTGATTCGTGATTCATCTGGAAGAACAAAAAAAAACCCTTCATAATGAGACCAAGATCGTTGAATTCCGTTACATCAAACTGTAGTAATATGAGTTTTTTCAAAGTACTATTCATCCTTCCCTCCCTCTTTTGTTTAAAAAGCTAGCGCAATTTTTTTTTGATCGAACTGATTGGAAATCAACTCGAGAATATGGAAAAATTGTTTTTGATATGTCTTGATATATCAAATTTACATAAAAACCCGTTTATTAAACTGGCCAATGCAATTACGCCCTCTAGGGGCTGTCCTGGAAACTTGAAAATGATTTCCAGAGATTTCTCTTGGCCACTTTTATCATGAATATTTTTTTCCGAAACCTGTGCGGCAAATAGTTTCCGAGATACAGCCGGCGTCCTTTCTTAGTGGTACACCCGGTACATACAACTTGTAAAATAACCTCAATCATTAGTAGTAAATGAGAAATGTATCAGTGGTTGAAGATCGTTTGCAGCGATTCTAGTCACAATTTAGGTTTGTTACTGACTGCTCCTACCGACTGCGCCATTTTTTCATAAACCTCCTGTATAATCATTCCAGCACTTAGTGGGCTACTGAATTGTTTGCAAAGTGTAAAGTGTTTCACTTCATTCTCTTTCAATGTAGATGATATGCCTGCTGGTCAAACTCCCCACACGGTGGTTCTATTCTCCCACAATGATTTGGTGGATGCCGTGCAACCCGGAGACCGTGTTACAGTGACCGGGATATACAGAGCGCAGCCTCTACAAGTGAATCCCAGAAACCGAAGCATCCGCTCTGTCTATAAAACGCACATTGATGTGCTGCATTTCAGAAAGATTGATTCAAAGAGGCTGTATGAAGAGGAAGATGGGTTGGTATTCTTTCATTCAATTGTTTTCAAATTGATAATAATGATCATGAATAATGAATTAACTTTATTGAATATATGGGGTATATATCATCAAGAGGTAATGCAATTTATGTATGAAGAACTAAAAGTAGCATGATTCTGGAAATTGGTAGGACAGTATTTATTAGTATTGTGAAACATCCGGTTTTTCCGGGAGTGACGTCATCTTTGTTATTTTCAATAGGACACCCTGTAAAATTGAGGGAATAGGGAATGTTGATGAATGTGGCATAAATCATGTCCCTGAAAATGTCTATATCAAAAATGGCAATGAAAAAATATATCATTTTCGGAAAATCGTTATCATGAGTTCAACTGCCGACTACTGGTAAGGTAGTTGGAAAAAGGTATATTTGGGGATTTTCCATCAAATTGTACTGAAACAAGAATATTTCATAGCAGTGAAAGCCACCTAAAAATAATTTCAATAATTGGGCATCAAAATTGTATACTTTTGGAATGTTGATGCAAGGTGCTATTACATATTTATGTAAAGACTTATCCTCTACAATAGGATGAAACGAAAAAAAAAGTCAATGTTAAATAGATATTGACTTACACACCTTAGGAGAAGAGCAGTTGGGAAAATATGATTGAAAAAAATTCATAAAAACCAATCAATTCTTCACCTCAATTTTCTCACAGAAGATTGCTTGGGATGAGAGAAAAAAAGGTCTATATACACATTTACCTTGAAAGAAATCAATATAAACCTTTTTTTCCTATATTTGGCACCCTATATCTCAGAGGGAATGCATAAGGACATTTATATTGATAGGAACTTTCCATCTCAAAATTAGGTAGGAATACGAAGTTTGTCGGTCTTATTTTGCTAACCCTGTATATTTGTTTTGACAATGCGACCAGGAATTTCAGGATTACCAACTTGACGCATTAGACAAGTGGTTGGTATATATTGGGTTGACCATCACAGTTGAACAATGGGGAGTTTCCTTCAGATGAATTTTCATAAAATAAGTTCGGAACTCTCCAGTTTTATGTCCACGTGGTACAGAATGGCGACCGATAATGTCCAAGTCGTTTTCATTTTCAAATTAAAGCAATTTCTAATTTTCGGGGCGGAAAACTGTGACGTACATTCTGAATCTAGTCTGAAAATAGCTGATGGTGAAGAATATAGCTAGCAAATAGCTAACAAATAGCTAACGAATGAAAAATATAGAAGAAGTAAAACTGGTGTAAACAAAAACATACATAACCACAAATGCACTCGGAGCAGGAATGCAGAGGGCAGTGGGCTTCATTCTGACAGGGTATGTTTTTGTTATTTATGCATTGAAATATCTCGAATAGAGCTCGATCCTAAACAAAAATATTGAAACAATGAATCACTATCGGCTACATTCAATGATACTATCCTTCTTGATTTACTGTCATCGGTCGGAACAGAATGAAGCCGACACCCATGGCTCCTTCCCCTTGTGCCTGTCAGTGTTTTAGTGGTGTGGACGGACTCGGAGTATTAGGCGCTGTTGCAAGATATAATCTGCAACTTTCCTAGGAAATAGATCCGTTTTATTAAGGAACGAATTCATTAGCAAAAAAATGACTGACAAGTTATGAATAACATATTATATATAACGATAGTGAAAAATTATAGATACTATCGCAAAATATCGTAATTTATCTCTATTAACAAGAAAGAAAACTCGAAGTCGTCTCCACAATTAGGAGGCAGGCAATCCTGCTTCAATAAGGTTTGATACATGTTTCGGCCGTTCAAATGGCCGTCTTCAGTCGAATTAACACAAAGTGTATCTACAATAGAAAAACCAAACATGATTTTATATCAAGTAGAAATTGAGATTGAAAATCAAAAGTTGTAAATGCAAAATTGAATTATATAGTTTACAAATTTCAGTAGGATAAAAGAGCAATGGTGATTTTTATAAGTATAACAATAATAATTGATTAGTAATTGATGGTAGAAAGTGGAAGAGTGAAAAAACAAAATTTTTCATTGAATCAAAAATTTTATAACAAAATGGCGAACCAAAGGTAAGAAGGTTGTACTCACGTAGAAAAATTTTTAAATCATCGTGAAGGCAAAAAAACTTAGTCTTAAAACATAATTAATTATTTAATGTGAAATGGAGTTCAAGTTGGTAAAATTTGAGAGGAAGGCAAAAAGCCAACTGTGACTGAAGGTGGTCATTTGAATGGCCGAAACATGTATCAAACCTTATTGAAGCAGGATTGACTGCCTGCTTCAACATCAAAATTGTGGAGACGATTTTGAGTTTTCTTTCTTGATCATTCCACTCCACTTTGAGTATGGACTACTACAGAAGATTATCTCTATTAGTAATCAACTTTCATTCGGCCAATGAGAGAATTATTCATAATACTGGACAAAGTAGGATTGATATAGTTATTGTGCATCCAAAGAACAATTTCCGGAAATCTAAACATATTGATGATGTCCTTGGATGTCGGTAACGTCGTACTGACACATGGAAACCAACGATTTTAACTCTGTGTGAATGTGGATGTTCAGAACGTACGTCATAGGAATGGTGGAGGAGCCAAGTTCCTCTTTTATTCATTTTTTTCTGAAGTGAAATTTGATCTAACGAAAAATAAAAAACACGTATATATTAATTTTTTACAAACTCCACAGTGAGATAAGAACCTCAATATAGGAAACTTCCCCTGAGGACCAAAATGCATTAAAAAAGAATCATTTTTTATATTTTTCATTTGCCTGAACCATCGGGCTTCGGAAAATTCCCAAAACTTTCTTTTGATTCATCCGCCCTCGGAAAATCTTCAATACTTTCTTTTGGTTCATCTGCCAGTGTATTGAAGCGTATTCCTTGGTTTCAGGAAAGATCATCGGTTTACACCAGAAAGAATCGAATTACTTAACATTTTATCACAAAAGCCAGATATCTATGAACGTCTAGCTAGAGCAATCGCTCCGTCAATTTACGAAAACGAAGATATCAAGAAGGGTATTTTATTGCAACTTTTCGGTGGGACTAAGAAAACCTTTACAACTTCAGGCAGATCCAACTTCAGAGCGGAAATCAATATTTTACTTTGCGGTGACCCAGGTATAAAATACTTTTAAATTAAACATATTATACGTCTTCAATGTGATTATTGTTTGATAGGTACTTCAAAATCTCAACTTCTTCAGTATGTTTTCAATTTGCTTCCGAGAAGTCAGTATACTTCAGGAAAAGGATCCTCAGCTGTGGGTTTGACAGCTTACATCACTAAAGATACAGAAACGAGACAGCTTGTACTTCAAACTGGGGCTTTAGTGTTGGCCGATAATGGTATTTGTTGTATAGATGAGTTTGATAAGATGAATGACTCGACAAGAAGTGTACTTCATGAGGTGAATTTTTAACTATAATTCCTTTGAAATTTTCGACACATACAGTTTGTTATTTATTGGCGATTTTGATGAACAAGATACCAAACGAAATTATCTCTTGATTACTGCATAGAGGAGTACTATTGTCCACGTTTATACCGTGTCTTGGTAAGCTGCCTAATGACCATATTTTAACTAAATACTCTTTACAGCTTTATTTTTCTTCAGATTTTCAAGAGATTCATTAACAAACTAACTCCAAATGTCTCAAAAGATACGGACAATAAAATAATTTCAGAATTTTCCATTTTTTACAAAAAAAAAACAGTGGGTCAAAATCTAGCCCACTATTCCATAAGGTGAAAGATTCCATGAGAATCGACTCATTTCAAATCACTGTGAAACGTCTGCAAACATGTTTTGTTCTTTGCAAGACAGAGGGAAACACACAACCAGTTTGTTTTCTGACTTTCCTGAATTGCAAAGAGCATTATCTCCTTCGACTTGTTCGGATAGGTTGATGAGCACCCTGTGTGACTCTCATTACCGGGCTTTGACTAAGTGTTTTTCTCTATTTGACTCGTGATTGATGTTCTCGATGAAGATACTGATATTTATTGACGACTAAATGATCAAATCTTCCATCGATAACTTTGAAAGATATAGAGTATTCTGTGAAGAATAAATGAGTTGACTACAGCGGCATCCAAGGAAAAGATTTCATGAATATCTGTCCCTTTATTTGTCTTTCCAGTCGTCTGATAATTCTGCTTAGTATATAGATTGATCTGGAGAACTATATGATTCAATAGAGGTTCTATTGAAATCTTTTGGCTGAACGATCTCATCCACTCCACACCATTTTTTTCCCTATCCCTGGTTTCAAATCCGCGATAGGGGTATCAAATCTTCTGGGTCCCATGTATCCATATATAAGTACTGGTGTCTCGATATTCATATCAGACAGTATAATGTTATTAAAATTTAATTCTACATCATTTTCCTCATCATTATCCTTGAAAAATGTCTTGGTCATGTTGTATGGTGGGACAAATTTTAAACAGCGTCGATTTTCACATTTTGTGAACGAAAAATAAACATATAAGTTGGAAAAATATAACAAGTAGGTTACCTATGTTGCCTAGATAGTATTTAATGCAACAAAAAATGTAATAACATGATAAGCATGAAATTTGCAGCCGCAATTCGAGAGGAGAAACACAACATACGGAACAAGTTTCGAGTTTATTCTATTCACTGATAATGTATTGTTTTATTTGCTTCAGCTTAGAACATATGATTCAAAAGATCAATATTAGTGAGTAATATGGGGCGGGAGAGAAAATAAACCGTCGTACCACAAATCATAAGCCCATTGCAGAGCAGGATATATTTTGTCCCAGCATACCTCTAACTCCAAGAAATTCGTGGTTCAAATTTTGCACCAAAGTACTTGAAAAAATTAACTAACGCCTTTGGCCTTAATTTGGTCAAATCACCTTGGTAAGCATACCAAATATCCATACGGTATAAACGTGGCCATCAATAGCTACCAAGCTGGTATGGAACTTTTCAATTCAATTTTTTTCCTCTTCATAATTGGACAATAAAGAACGTTTATGTCAGTCAGCTTTTAGAACATATGGAATGAATTGATTATCGTATTTTAGGTTATGGAACAACAAACGTTAAGTATCGCTAAAGCCGGTATTATTTGCCAGTTGAATGCAAGAACTTCGATTTTGGCTGGTGCCAATCCATGTGAATCACAGTGGAACAAAAATAAGACTATAATTGAAAATGTACAACTTCCACATACCCTATTGTCCAGGTAAAAATATTACACATTTTTTTTAATAAAAGAAAATAACACACTACTCTCCCCAATCAATCAGATCAATTATTGGAAAACATAAAATATCTTTGTATATGATGCGGTGCGGTGATGCGATGTTGTCAAGTTTATAACGTATTTTTACAAATTCTCAAATATTGACATCACTATACTCTGGAATATGGTATTGTGAGTACCTACTTATGATAAAACTGGCTGATGCAATCTGTCTTTATTGAGTTGAGTTTAATAAATATCTCATTAAATACTGAGTTATTTAACATTTTTAAATTTTGATCTTTGATGCCATGGGTGTCAAAATAAAACAGCATCATAGTACTTTCATCATGTTTGTTCAATGGATATCCAATAACTGGAATGACCTTATTTTCATTGACACCCTGTATATTAGTGTATATCCAGATATCTGAAGTTGAAAATACTTTTGGGAATTTGTGACTAATTTGTAATGCAAACTTTTTTTTTAGGTTTGATTTGATTTTTTTGATTCTGGATCCACAAAATGAAATTTTTGACAGACGATTGTCCCGACATTTGGTATCTCTTTACTACAAAACAAGATCTGAGGAAGACGATGAAATTTTGGTAATAGCAGCACCACTCCAAATTGACTTTAAATCATCATTTATTGAAATATTTCTTGAGATTTCCTCTCCTTGTTTAACAGTCGAAGTTACGATTTTTTCAATATCACAGAAATTTCGTAGATATTGAAAAAATATCAACATGTAACAGTTGAAATAGAATGTTCGAATTTGAGACATATTTCAAATCGGTATAGAAACTTTTTTTGTAAGCGTTTTTGACATCCAAACAAATGAGCTTATTTTCAGCAAGTATTTTGAAAAATTGTAAATTGATCGGGGGGGGGGGGGGTAATCATGGCGCAAGAACATGTACACCAAAAATTCAAAAAAATTCCAACACCTACCTCCTCTCCTATCATCCCTAGGTACGCACGATGTTCTTCGAAAATTATAGGGATTCCCTTTCGTGCGCACCAAGCGATAAAAAAAACGAACTTTTCCGGACCTCCTCAAACTTTACCGAAATTTCCCTTTCTTCCAATAGACCATTTTACGCAGAATGTGGCGTAAATTGGAACTAATTCGGGCTATCAAATTAAATGTCATTCTTACAGTACGCGTCGTTCGAAAATTAAAATTGATATTTGTGTTTGATTAAGTAGTTTCATAGTGAAGAAAAGCATCAATTGAATATGAAATATTAGCTTGCTACTGGACAAAAAGTAAATGCGACTATTCATAATTTTCCCTAGATGATCCAACAGCACATATCCTTCTAGAATGAATACACCAAAGGTTCCGAGGTGGACAAAAATTTTCAAGAATTCAGTGATAATCCAGATTAGGGAATATTTGAAATGACAGAATGGATGTTTAAGTCGAATAAAGTTGAGAAATTCCCTTTATTATTCTATGGAACACAACCTGAATATAATATATTCAGAGGAGAAGTAGAAGCTTCTTTAAAAAAGATCGGAGGTTCTAACCTGACCCACTGAAAGGACAGATTGCTTTGAAATTTGGCAGAGGAACACGATTCTGGTGGCATTGCATCATGAAATTTTTGTTAGACAATAAAACAAAATGACTGACGAGTTTTGTAGCTATGATCCGATTCGATTCAAAATTGGTATCTGGGGGTTTTCGAGGTCGGAGATTATGATTCTTTCGACAAAACTTGTGAATTCAAGATGGCGGATCCAATATGGCGGACGAGTTCTGTAATTATGATCCGAATCCATTCAACATTTGTATCTGGTGGTTTTTGGAGTCATAGATTATGATTCTTCCGTCAAAATTGGAAAATTAAATATGGTGGATACAATATGGCGGACCGGTTTTGTTATAATCATACGATACTATTAAAAATTAGTATCTGGGGGTTTTCGGGGTCGGAGATTATACAAATACAAAAACAAATATAAAATCTTTATTTCCATCGACTGAAATACATCAGTATAGCATTGTCAAGGTCAGAAAAATATATAAAACTAAATACTAGAATAGAAAAATAGTAGAATAAAATGGGACATAGCCAAATGACATTATATATACTAACAGTAATAACATCACTAACAAAACATTATCTAGGTCATTCTAGGTACATCAAACATGTTAAAATTGATTTTCAAAGAACTCTTGCAGGGAGTGAAAAGGGTTTTCTTTCAATAAAATTGTGGTTTTCGACTTGAACTGTTTGAAGCAGTTAATTTGGTACGGGGTAAGTGTAAGTTTTATGGCTGTAATTTTAGGACCATTCTTCACTTGGGTTTGTGAGTAAGGTGGAACATAAATTGTACATGCAGCTCTAGTACAATAAGGATTTCTTTCCCCACATGTTTGGAAATTATGAGTAGTTAGAATACCTGTGTCGCAAAAATGCTTTCTACAGGATTGATGATTCTTTCCTGAAAATTGTGTACTTACAAAAAATATAAAAACAAAAAATCTTTTGGTAGTCGAATTAAAAAATAGAACATAAATAGTAGTTTGAAATACCAAAGAAACGCCCTTTTATAGATAGCCAAACCAAAAGGTAGAAAATAAAATAAAAGTGTATTGATAAATACACAACATAGAATGTAGTCATTACGGAGGTGCTAATATTTTCTATGTTGAATATTCATCAACACACTTTTTTTATTTTATTTTCTTGCTTGCAAGTTCTTCCTACCCGTTCATTTACAATTCCTTAACAGTTCACTTAAGCATTCCCTCACAAATTTATATATCACGCATTATTGCTCAAATCAGAACTTCTGGCAAAAAGTCGTTGATGTTCGTTTCATGACTCGTTTTATTAAATTGACACTACAGAGATGTGTTCAATATGCAACTTACAAGTAACCGAGTCTTTGCAACATATCCTGTTTGAATGTCCTATCTACTCAGGCATAAGGCAAAATGCGATTCTGTTTGAAATCGGCGATATTGATGGTCTAATACTTCTACTCAACACTCACAATATCTTATACTTAGCAGACCTTGTGAAGTCCCTGATGAATATTATTGGAAATGTGGATATTAGATATTCTTAGGAACTTGTATAGCTCTGAAATGTGTAATGTACCTACATTATTTACTGGTGAGGACAAGTGGGGGAAGATTACGTTACAAATCTGATGAAAAGAATGAACGATATTCACGAATTCGGGAAGAAAGAGGAGCTTCATCAACAGGGTCCCTCCGTCGGTCGAGCACTAGAAATAGAAGATATCAGCCCTGAAGGAAAAAGGTATCTGTTATATCTTATAACGAAAGGAAGATCTTCTGAGAAACCCACTCACAAGGACCTCTGGGAGACACTAGCCGACTTACGAAGTGCCATACTCGAGAAGGACATACAGAAGATAGCTGTTCCAAAGCTGGCGTGTGGTCTGGATGGCTTGAATTGGAGAGTTGTAAGGAACATGCTGGAGGTTGTATTTAGATTTACCGGAGTTGAAATTCTGGTATGCTGCTGGAACTCCAAGAGAGAAGACAGTGCCATGCTATTTCTACCATACTGCACGTGGTAGAAATGAAACCAGTTGTCCCTATCTTCATAACGATCAGAGTGCATTCCAGGAGGAATGCGTTTTAAGGAGGGGGCAGTGTAATGATATTTTCCTTAAAGGGGCTCCAGAAACATCATCAGGAAGGCAGGCGTACAACGATCATCCTGTAACACGCATCCCAGATTGTTCTACAACATCCCAATGATATTTCTAGAGCCCCTCTTAGAGGAATATCATTACAATATACTTATGATCCATGTGGAATCATGCTCGCCTATAAACCGAGCCCCTGTGATAAAAATCTATTTTTTTTTCTAACACTAAACTATCTATCATTTTATTTTCTACTTCTTTTCAGTTTGGCCATCTTTGAAAAGGCGTTTCGTGTTTCTTTAGTTTTTTAAACTACTATTTATTATCCATAGAAACGAGGAGAGAAAATCCCAGAAATTCTAGATGAATGAATATTCCACCTCCTCTAACAACCTACAAAAAGTATTTGACTCCAACAACATTTTTGACTTATTTTTCAGGACATGTCGATATTGAGAGACTACATCGCGTATGGCAAAGAGCACGTCCATCCGAAGCTTAGCGAGGAAGCGTCCCAGAAACTCATACAGTCCTACGTCGATATGCGGAAGATCGGTTCGGGCCGCGGACAAATCTCCGCTTATCCCAGGCAACTGGAGTCCTTGATCAGACTGTCCGAGGCGCATGCTAAAGTTCGGTTCTCCGACACCGTGACAGTCGAGGACGTCGAAGAAGCTTACAGGTACATCTCAATTTTCCATTGTTGATCTCCACATTTATGCCTTCAGTTTTAACAACAGTAAGAACAAGAGCTTTTTTTTTTTCGATGTATGATAAATTGATATTCATCATACATAGAGCGTAGGCCGGTGTGTACCACCCCTCACCCCCCCCCCGTGGGAATTATCGATACATAGATTTTTTTAAATACTGTCTGTAGGTTAATCGAGGAGGTGGTACATTCAATATTCCAAATTTTTTGGGATTTTCTCCTCGTTTCTATAAAATAAGAATATGAATATTATTTCAATATACGTGTAGTAAGGACAAATCAGATAATTTGCCCCAAAATGTCACTGCGTTTAAAGAATTTTCCTATCAAAGAGCCTAAAAGAAAAATTCACTAGCTTGTCAGTGACAATTCGTATTGAAAAAAGTTTGGAGAAGAGAAATAAAGCTATATAGAAAAAATATCAAATTTTCACTTATCTTTGGACGTTTCGGGACCGAATCTGCTCCCGTTTTCAACATAAAAAATGGTTATTTGTATAGCAAAGTCGTATCTGTCTTGAAACTTTTCAGTTCTCAGTGACAATTGGTGACGTTGGCAATCAAATGAGTTACAAGATGTTTTCATTAATTAATCTTGTTTTTACCATTTTCATGTTCAGATTTCAGTTTTGAATACCATGTTCTGTATAGATCAACTGAACAAGAAGCAATGCTATTGTCTCCGTTCAGAAGAATGCAAGCAGATTCCTTGATTTTTCTCTTCTGGTTGTTATCTTCTTTTCCAATGATTTTAAAATTATTCCACTTGCCACTTGCGAATTACAGCATATTCCGGAAAAAAACGAAAACATCATCAAAACTATCAAATATGTTGAATGTGCATGCCCTGTCCGGATGTGACACAATCAGTTCCTTTGTTCGTCGTGGAAAGTTGTGAAATCTGAATTGTAAAAGTTTTCAAAGTTCGTTGCAGACCTATCACTCTTCTATCGCTACTATCATGGACGATGCTCTGTTGAATTGTCATCAGCTGTCCCCCCTGGAATGACCTTTGTTCGCCACCAATATGCAGTCAAAATTGAAACACCTAGAACAACATATTTTCAGAACTCCTCCTTTTGTAGGACATCTTCACTGTGGAATTCTTTACCCACAGATGTATAAAAAAAAAGATATCCTTACACCATTAGGAACATTAAGACGTCATTGGAAAACCACATAAAACGTGTCAACTTACCAATGTTACGTATGGAATAACGCACATATAACTGAACCCTCTACACCAACTCCATTGTGTGCTTAAGTTTGATTGGATTAATGGAGATCCGTTGCCACCCGAACTGCTTGACGTTCCAGAATGCTTTGAACCATCAGATGAATTTGAAGATGAAGATGCACCAGAAGTACTCAACTTAGACGATATAATACACGAGGATGAAGAATATGATAGTCGATTACAATAAAACATAATATGCTTGATACTATAAAATCATATGCTGATAGTTGAGTTCCTTTATTTAAAAAAATATATATTATCAATATTCTACCTTGAATACATATTGAATGAGTTCATGAAACAATATGATGAATAAAATTGAACAAAAATTTTCCAGAATATGCTGTAATTTAAACAAGGCGAACAATTGCGAGTTCCTAATCTGGTGGGTAATGCCAACAAAAAAAAGTATGTCATAAATTCCCACGGGGGGGGGGGAGGTTTTCATATTGGTGGCTCATGGTCTAACAGGACGTGGACAGGAATTCTGAATTGAGAAAAGACCTAATCACGAATCTGCGATTGAGGTCTATAAAAATAACAAGTTTCCATCGGTCAACTTTGACCCCTTGATTGGGTGAAAGTATTGAAAAGGAATATTCTCAGATATAATTGAAGGGGCAAGTGGAAGATGGGGTCAAGTAACATTTTCTGAAAATATTCGGTTATTGTTGTAACTTAAGATGATGAAATTACCACTAACAAGACAACGACTTCATATAATTTCATATAGTAGAATCCCAATGCACTCGACTCAATCTATATTCAAAAATATGACATGTCAAGACTGACAAACATGAATATTCAATACTGACGCCAGAAGACCTGACATGTCAATAATATATACAAGGTATAACAATCTCCCACACTATTTAAAATTGAATGAAATATTTAACTGATAAAAGTCATTGAACATAGTCGCCCAAATATGTCGGTCGACGACGTGGACGCTGCAGACGATTTGACACAGAATCTGGTTCAGAAGCGACGACATCTGTTGGAGTTACAGGGGGTGTCATCAGTGGCACAATCTCTGGAGGTCGAACTTCCTCATCTGAAACAACTTCCTCAGCTGGAGTGACTTCTTCACTTTGTTGAATTACATTACGTCGTGAATGAATGACAGTCACGGTCGGATTGCGAGTCGGAGAACATTCCTGCGAGGAGTCCATCGCGGATCGAGTTCGAGCTGGAGAGTATACTTCTTGTGGACTAGCTAAGGAAATTCGACGTGTTACTTCTGATTGACGAAGCTGGTCGATATGACGTTTTAGTGCATAACCATCATCCAACTTCACTCTGTAGTGTAGTTTTCCGAATGTTTCTGAAATAACTCCTGGCTTCCATGCCACTTTCCCACTGGTGAACATCTTCACGAGAACTCTATCTCCCACACTAAATGATCTCAAGCAGGAGCGCAACGGAGAACTTGATGCTTTCTTCGAGTTTGGAGGCTCTAGCGGCTTGAGCAGATCCAATTTCGTGCGGATTTGTCTACCTAGATAGAGCTCAGCAGGTGTCTTATCACAACGTAGAGGAGTAGCGCGATAGCGGAACAAAATCTCACGAATTTTTGAATGCATCGACCCATTTTCTGATTTCATGGCATCCAATTTTCTTTTCAAAAATTGAACGTAACGCTCAGCTTGACCATTCGTTTGAGGATGTCCTGGTGCAATAAGACGACGATTACAGAATTTGACGAATTCGGAGCTGATAAAAATTGTGGCATTGTCGGAAACAATTACCTCAGGCAAGCCGTGGACACTGAAAATGTCTTTCAGAAATTCAATTGTAGAAGCTGACGTCGGTGCAGTTTTTGATAATCTGATCTCCGTTATGTAATGGAAGAAGGTGTTACGTGCATATGTAACTTGCCATGTCAGGATTTGTTTCTTTCCTTCATATCTAAGTAGAAACACAGTGGCAGAAGGGGCTATGTTATACTAAACATCAAGGACGCAATGAAAGAAAGAGCTATGTGCCCATTATCTACATGTCAGGAAATGGAAGAAGGGGTTATGTACGCATGAATCCATAAATAAACAACGAAAATTGGGCGAATCGAAAATTGGGTCAAACGAGACGTTCCCGATGCGATAGCCCTTCTTGCATAAAAACATCCAAAAATGAACTAGGAATATATTCTGCATTACCGATCTCTACCCTTCACTATTCAACAAAAAGTAGTTCACCTTTTCGCTCATAGATACCGACCCCAACTGAATAGAATTTCTGACTCCAATGCTCTCATGAAAATGACTCATCTTCTAGGTGTAATTAATCAGTACTACTTGCTGTATTATGATGGTACTTGAAAAATCGCGACTTCAATATTCATCTTCCGAATCTTTCCTTGTAGATTACACCGAGAAGCATTGAAACAATCCGCCACAGATCCGCTGTCCGGTAAGATAGACGTCGGCATCCTAACCACCGGTTTGAGTAGTGCTGCTCGTAAACGGAGAGTAGAGCTGGCACAAGCTGTCAAGAAAATGATCGAAGAGAAGGGCAACGTGCCGAACATGAACTATCAGAAGTTTTTCATGGAGCTGAAAGAAAGTTCTACCACGGTAAGTCAAATCAAACTAACCGCGGTTTTATTATTTCTAATGCTGCTATTTTGCCGACCATCTATGTAACTTAAGGTATGTAGGATACAGACTCTGTAACATACATACTTACACATTCTGTTAATTTAACAGAGAATGGTATTCTGCCAAATACTCAACCCCGTGTCGGAATTTACGCCTGTCCTCTTACTGAATATTGATAGATGGCTAACTTCATAGCTACTCAGTAACCTCACATTTCAGGGTTGGTTTTGATGGATTCAGAAGAAAATGGATATTTCAGAATGGTAATTATCTATATCAATTGTATCATTGACTAATTATTGTCCTTTTTTATGGTTATAGAATTATTCTTAAATTCGACTGATACTATTATTAATGAGTAACAATTTTCATTTATTATACCTTCCAGCTACTTCTAGAACTAGAATTATTACCTACATAAGTAATTTTACAATTACAGTGAGTAAATCGGGTCCGTAGGAATGTTACATCCTATGTGATGTCATTATATAGAAATATATCAAAATCGCACTGGCAGAATACCAATTTCCTTACATTCTTTGAATATGGAATTATACATAGCGTACAGAGCCTGTACTGGTGTGCAGAATAGCAGCATAAATGTGGTTGAATCATTGTGACATGGCATAATCCAGAAGATGATGGAGAGCATTTTTTCAACATGGATAGGTGATTGTCATTCTACAACTCATTTTTTGAGTAAAAAACCATGTCAAAGTTGGAAAATCACTGGTAATTTTCAGGTAGTTCAGCAGATATTTTTTTCACAAGTTGTATTCTGTCATTTTGTGTGATGTGGTGTTATGCTGATTTTAAACTGCTACTCCTTGATAAAACCTTGTTTACTTTGAACTGTCAAGATAATGAGATTTATCTGCATATACAGTCGCATTGAAAAAAAATCGTACAAGTATATTACAGAGAGAAATTAACGTAATCCTATTCTGCATAAAACGGGCTATCGGGAATGATTGTTCACCAAATGTTGACAGTAAAGTTGTCATAGGTTCTCGAAAACACCAAGCATACTATAGGATCCCGAAATCCTCTCTTTTTAATACTTGTACGCTTTTTTATTGAATACGACTTACCTCATTATTCTCTTGACCTATTTCATGAGTAATCAATTCTCCAAGAAAACAAAACGTATCCTTGATTTCATTCAACATAACGTTGGTTTGGGTGTCTCAGGGGTTGGGGGTTCTGAGACCAGGTAGCAGGAAGAATGAAAAACCGCCAATTCTTGAAATACCAATGATTTATTTCCACTTACTGTCGAGTACTGAGCCAAGCAACTAAAAACTAATATCCACACATATACTAGTCGTCATAACAATTAACAAAATACATTTCCAACTGGTGGCACTATGAACGCCATTTTAACACACAAGCCGGACTTGCGATGTCTCAACCATCGATTGATATATTGAATATCAACCAAATAGTCGATGACTTACCTAATACCAGAACTGACGTTGACACTCTCGGTGTTATAGTATATCCAATATCAATTGCAGAATATCTCGCACTGTGCGGCGTCGGCGTTTTTGAAGTTTCCTTTGAAGTGGCTGCAGGTGCTACACAAGAATCTGCAATTGTTTTTGGATAAACTATAACACAAAAGGCCAGTCACTATTCAAAGGCTATTATTTTTTTAGTATACTTTTATCTTATTACTCGAATAACATTCAATGATTCAACGCCGGAAAATCTCGCCTTCTTCTACTCAAGACTCTCGCGCCCGCCACAGGTGTCTAGATGCCGAAACATAAAATAAAATAATATTTAACATAAAATATAAATAATATTTCCCAATTATGTCGCGTACGCCACCTATTAATAAATAGATTGAGGCCCGAAACAGGGAAGAATTCGCGACTGCTGACCGCAAATAATTGCCGATCATAACGATATTGAGGTGTAGGACCTGCAAATTCACCTAGAGGGAACTACTATTATTTTGGTTCAACATCTTCTTGCCTAATAAACATTCAAAGTTCGCGAATCCAACCACCGATGAGGGCGTTGCAAGACGTAAACAAAAATGGAGAATTGTGAGTAATGTTTCTTATTTTGTACAGTGAATCGGTGTGGTCCATTCATTTTTGAGCATTGTGAGAATGATATGGATAAGTGATGAATAACAAAAATTACCAATTACTTGCAGGATAAGAATTTGAAAACAAAATCATCTGAAGTTGAGAAATTGCATTCTCCTTCAGATAAAAATATGTATATGCAGATAATATCATTCTAAATATTCAACAGAAAACAACTACTTTCCTAGCTATTTGCCACGTCGAACATTGATTTATATCTGTTGAACTGAAAATCCTCTGAAACTGAGAATTGACATTCTCTCTCAAATCGGATAAAATAATATGATGTATTGTGAAAAAAAATATAACTTACCAATATGTTCACTATGGAGATGAAAATTGTATAAACTCTGATCTTGATGAGCTTGGAACTTCCAAAAAAATAATTCATATCATTGATTTAATGGGTTGAATAAATAAATTATTATTATTATTATATGGGCATTATATCTCTCACAAAAGAGGTTATATGACTTCATTGGAATCAACTCATTTTGGATATATAATCCTCCTCAGTAACCTGAAGTCCAGTTATTCTTTCAGCCATTCTTCCTGTGTGTTCAATAGATATAATGCCAGGAAGGTAGTTGTTTTCTGTTCAATAAACCAATAAAGAATTGATATTTTCATCACATAGAGAATGTGAATTCTCAATGTATTTCTTTGTTGTTGTAACTTGTTATTTTTATAGATCAATCGCAGATTCGTGATTAGGTGTTCTCAATTCAGAATTTCTTTCCACGTCCTGTATGATGAATATTAATTTGTCATACATCCAAATTCATAAATGAATGAATTAAATTCTAGTTTGATAACTTCTCTACATTATGTTTTAAAGAGTTTTCATATCTTCCAGAATTCAATATCCAAGATAGGAAATGAGTCATCCAAACATAGGTCCGAAGATGTTAGTTTTAGCTTACAGGAAGTTTCAAAAAAATAGTTGTTTCATCAATATTTATGTTTCTTGGGGTAATAAAGGACAACAATATTTCGGAAACGCTTGGAACTTTGCGGTTTTTGTACCTGGGTCATAAAATGAAAACTGATTTTTATTCTCTATAGACTTACTAAAATGATTTTGAGTTCTTTGTATTGAAATACAAAATACTTATTTTTTGTTAACAAGGTGATCTTGATAGTCTTTTGTAAAATGAAATTAGTTATGATTCCATTAGTTTTGTCAGAAAATGATGCATTCTCATTTGGTTTTCTCATACATCATAAAAAATGTTTGTGCTGCTTCTCATTAATCCCTTGTGATTGTCATTGTTCATAGAATAACTTTAAAATTTATTTCAGATGATAACCCGGGAACAGTACGAAGATGCCCTCAAAGATTTACAGGATGATGGTATAATTGTTGTGATGGGAAAAACTTCCATAAGAGTTTGTAGGAACAGAGATTAGTTTCAATTTTGAAATATGTGTGTGACTCACAACAAAGTGTAACAATCGAACATAAAATTTTCATAATTTTTCATAAATGTAGTTCCAGTGTTCATTTTTTTTAATAAAACAAAACAAAAATATAAAATTTCCATTTATGTATAAGAAAATATCCAACATACAATGGCAAAGTGTATCAATTGAACATTAAATTTTCATTTATCATGAATGTAGTTCCATAGTGTTGATTGTTTTTAGAATAAAAACAAACCAAAAATGAAAAAATTCCATTTATGCATAAGAAAATATCCAACAATGTAAGGTGTAATACTTTTAAAAATTATTCTAAATTCCATCACAGGTCAACTGATCTACAAAATCGCCCAAACGCAATTTTTCAACTTATTGACTGATTGAACCCATAAATCTCCTTCTTCAAGTTTAACCAGTCCAAGGCTTTCTTTGTCAACGGTTTCTTTTGATCCAAAACCTTGACGGCGTCTTGGAATTTATCTTCGTTTCTCCTGAGATACATCAGGGTGTCCCTCTTCAGTTGTTCCAGTTTATTGGGGTCGATTTCCGCTATGTCCAGCATTTCGGTGAGGTAGGGGTTGAAACGGTAGTAGACATTGCCTGGGAGCAAATCTGACAGCATTGTGTGAACACCTAAACATAAGATTTCTTGGTACACAACAAGAATTTCAGACCATCCAGCTCTGTGCAGGAGAGGTCATTTTCAATATTGAAGTTAGTGAACAATTTTCAATTCATCTATAGAAAATGAAATTACAAAACATAGTGATTTTGAGGAGATCATCATTATTATCATCATCTTTATTATTCCCAATAGTTCCCAAGAAACTATTAACAACAAATATGTTTATAACAGGGAATAGAAAATAATAATGCATTGCATTTCCTCTAAAATACACTAGGTATAATAGTTATTATAGTAATTTTAGAGGTTGAACTGATTCTTGTTTAGGTGAATGAATGATTAATAAAATAATTGATATGGTAAATGACTACATTGATGACATTACAAAGTTCCGACAAATAGGGAGTTTTTCAAGTTCTTTCTTGAGTCTTATTGACAAATCATTGCAAAGTATTAATCCATTGTAATATGAGTGATATTCTTTCATTCTGAACTAACTGACACATTTCACTTGAACTGAAGTGAATCAGTTGACATGCATTGTACATAATGAACGTCATTTGAAAGAACGATTCAGTTCAGTTCTGGTGAAATATTTCAGTTAGTTCAGATTGAAAGAATATTACTATACAGATCTCTTTCCAAATTGAGATTTGATTTAAGGGAAGACAAATTAACCAAAATCAAACAACCTATTCAGGTTGTTTTCCTATTTGTATGTTTCTGAGTACCGATCTTTCATGAGCATTTTTTTTAGTTGAATACTTCCAAACGAAAAAAAAACAAGTGAATTAAAATTATGTATTTTTCATTTATGTTGAATATTTTAGTTTCTATTTCGTTTTATGAATAAAAGTGTATTATACAAACTAGGGTGAACAGGCTATATTAGCTAGCAAACCTAATAGCATTCTCTAGCCAGCGTCATCAGGCCTATGATAGCATATGTCAGTAGTTTGGTGGTCAAAGACACAACAGGTTGGAGTGATTCGAAGGCTCAGTGCTATTCAAAGGCAAGCGTGCCTGAGTGCCACTGGTGCAATGAAAACCACTCCAACAGCCGCTTTAGAGGTCCTCTTGAACCTACCACCACTACAAATATATATTCAAGGCGAAGCCAGAGCAGTCGTGAGTAGATTGTCAAGGGGTCAAGCACCCATAAGCAACGGGCACGGTAAAGACTATAGGAAGCTATATGAAGTTGGAAAGCGACCCCATCATGGGAATGCCAATGGATGGCATAATTCCAAAATATAGCTTTGAAAAAACTTTTAAAATAAGTATAACGGACAGAGAGGCACGAAGGAAGGACCTCCTATCAATGCAGACATTGCTGTCTATACGGACGGCTCCAAAACTGAGGAAGGATCAGGAGCTGGTATTTATGGGGCCAAGCCAAAGACGAGAATCTCACTGAGCTTAGGCAAATACGCGACGGTGTTTCAGGCAGAAATTATTGCAATACATCATTGCGTGAAAGAATTGATGAGGCAAGAGTTTAAAGGCAAAACCATTGCAATCTATTCAGATAGCCAGGCGGCAATCAAAGCAGTCAACTCTATGCAAGTTAACTCAAACCTTGTTTGGGACTGCTTAGACACCCTAAATGCACTGGGCAGTCAGAACAGATTGACTCTAGCATGGGTACCAGCACATACAGGGTACGAGGGCAATGAACAGGCAGACTCACTTGCCCGAGCAGGAGCAAACAAAGCCCTTAATGGCTCAGAACCCTTCTGTGGTATTGCGAAAGCTATAGAAAAGACTAGTATCAAATCATGGATGCAAACCAAATCTCAAGAATGGTGGACCAACTCGCCAGGAATGAGACAGGCAAAAGAGTTTATTAAAAAACCATCGCCAACATTCACAGAATATCTACTAAGCCAGAAACGAAGTTCAACTAGAATACTAGTGGGACTTCTCACAGAGCATTGTAGGCTCAACAAACACATGAGTACGATAGGTCTGACTGAAGAACTGCTTTGCAGGTTCTGTCAAAAAGAGGAAGAAACAGCAGTACACATACTTTGCCACTGTGAGGGCTTGTCAAGACTAAGGTTCCTTACGCTGGGTGAGGAAAAACCAGGAGCCCAGAGATACACAGGAGATCTGAAAGCTAGCCTATGGAGTCTCATAGAGAAGGCGGGGCTAGCCGAAGAACTCTAATCGATTTTGAGGGCAGACACAATATATCTGAAAAGGTCGCAGTGTGGAGGCAGATAGCCCGAAGGCCCCATTCCAAATCTAATCTAATCTAATAGCATTCTCACCCAAGGTATATATTATTTTTTCCATCACCAAGTATTTGGTATCAACAGGATCAATTAATTTACATTTTCGATTCCATTGAAGGAAGCGAATCGCCGTTGACCATGTATATTCCTGGTTCAACTATTTTGATTTTCAAGTACCCAGGGAGTCAGTTGTAAAACAAAGCATAAGCAAATTACAACGCAATCCGAATTATTGTTTGCCAGAGAAATCTCCAGGTGATAATGTTGTGAATAGAGTCGAAAAATGTTTGTATTTTAGATGCTACTTGGTTTCAGTATTCTCTCAGCCGATCCTCACTCTCATAATTCGCACATGACAGCTCAAGAATGATTTTTGACATCTTTATATTCACAATTCCAAACATTATTCCTTTATAACTTCGATAATTAATTATATTTTGTTTCAATGATAGTTTTTCATTTAGAGTCCAGCCGCCACTTAGAAAGTAGAATGGTAGGCAGAGAGGGAGAAAACGTCAATTAGTTATTTGAAGAGTATCATAGGTCTACCCCATCTCAATGCTGTTGTCATATGTGATACATACCTACTATTCTTTCATTCATGTAACGACAGCACTTCTAGATACGAGTAGATCCGATGAACGCGCGCCAGCGACATATCATAAATGTTCACGACGCGGTTGTCAGTTGAGGTTAATGATAAGTCTAGTAGTATTTTATCTAAGTCTGAGTAACGTCTGGAAACTTATTATTATTTACCTATGTAGGTTAATAGTATGTTTCTTCTCATTAGAGTAATTAGTTGTAAACAAATTCACCTATCTAAGTCTAAGTACTTAGTGGGTGGAATCTATTTATTCTTTATTATTTACCTATGTAGGTTGATATGTTTCTTCTCATAAGAGGAATTAGTTGTGAAGATATTCATCTATCTAAATTCGTTTCCATCAAATACAAAAATTATAAATAAGTATAGTAGTATTTTATCCAAGTCTGAGTAGGGGCTAGACTATATTTCTTCATTATTATTTATCAATGTAGGTTGATAATATGTTTCTTCTCATTAGAGGAATTAGTTGTAAAAAATGCACTTAAATTCATTTCCATCAAATACAAAGAATTATGGGGGCACTAACAAACTAACCTTCTGTGTCGGTGGCACTATCCAATATGGCGAAAAACTTCTTTTTCCATGAAGAACTGATAGGTGTACTGATTGGCTCTGAAGGTTCCACTGGATTCGGAACGGTCCTGCCGGTTCCGAACGAGACGACACACTGTATAGGTGTATTGGGCCAAAGTAATTTGGCTTCATGTATTGCTACTGCTGTAGGGTTATTCACCAATATACCACCGTCCTGAAAAATGTTTTATGACGAAAATCTGGGTACATAAAAGTCTCTATGGTAATTGAAAAATTTCCAGCTGCTGAAAATTATTTATTCATTTGGTAGGAGTTATATATTGTCCTGAAATATATATTTTGTACCTCAATTCTGGTATATAACATCCCTCTTCTCAAAAGGAAAAAAGTAAACAATGAGAATAAGACTATGATTCAAGCATATCTAGTTTTTTCACTTTTCTATTTGACCGCTGCCACCATGTTTATATATCGAATATATGTTTGGGTTCTAATGAAATCAGATTAATATGAGTTCAAGAAACAATGACTTTTATTTCAAACTATATTGAGTACCTCAATTCTGGTATGTAACAGAAGGTACCTAACTTTTTCCACCATAAGGTTAGGGAAATTTACCTACTAAAAGAATAAAACTACTATCAAGAAGGATGGAGTCCCAAGCCTCAACTTACGGTAATATTATGTTGATATATTTATTGATCATACCTGGAGTAGCATATTCCCTATTTTGTATTCTTCAAAATAGGTGGGTGCAGCAGCAGAGGCTCTCACAGACTCCCAAACTTGGTGGTTGTAGCCTCCCATGTACTGAGATTGCACTTTGCAAGGTAAGGAATAGTTTCTGAATATGTATGCTGACAGTCGAGATTGATTCACTACTGCAGATACTGCACAAAACTGTAAATTAACATGTGATACTGGTAATGATTTGATTATTCTAAGTTCTCTGGTGTCAGTTGTTAATGTGATTTCACTTATTCAAGAAATACATTTTCAAATATTTTCATTTTTTTCAAGAATATACCGGGTGTCAACGAATCTATTAGACAAGTCATAACTTCTAGACCATTAGGTGTATCAAAATGAGATTTGATATAGATTAATGGTATGTGAAGAGGAGAGTTTTCACAAATCTTTCACTTCCCGGTCACTCCCGGTTTCACCGGAAATGACTCCGGTTCTAAATATTTAAATGGAACACCCTGTATATTGTGACATTTTTGGATTTCTGATACAATTCTAGATCAGAATATGACATTTTCGAAAGTTTTTATGCCTTCTTAACTTTTTCGGAGTCACTTTTGAAATTACATCTAGGTGGCGCCATGATCGGAAGTAAACTAATCTGAGGACCTCAGGTGATATCAGAAAATTACAATCGCGAAGTTTTAGTGACAAGTATGATAGATATGAATAAGACAAGTTGGCAAAATTACATTTTCGTGTCTAACTATTATTTTTCAAATGGCGTCCATTTTTTGATAAGCACTTTCCGAAAAAAGGATAGTTTGACGAATCTAACGATAATGATTTATTTGCGATTGGATTACAAATAAGAACATACATTAAATATTACTGACGAAACTACTTCATAATAATTTATTTACCGAGAATAGGCATGGTGCATAATATTTTGCAGTTATTTCGATCAAGTCTTGGGAGAACAAATCACTCACTTAGGTTATGACAGTGACATAAGCTTCAAGAGCAGAAGGTAAAATTTTCTTGATTTTCGTTAAATTTTAGTTTAATTTTCCGTCAAAATAATTTACCTACCCCTCATAATACCAGATACGTTCTTGATTACTTAATAGAGCATTTCAATAATCAAGTTATTGCAACCAATGGAACAGTACGGTGGCCTACCTGCTCACCGGATCTGACTGTGCTAGATTTCTTCATTTGGGGATATGTTAAAGAAAGGGTCTACTATGCAACAGCCCCAGCCATTCTCGAAATCTTAGGAAAAAGGATTCTACAGACATTTAGAAGTATATCGCCACAAATTTTACGAAACGTGTTGAGAGAAACAATTGAACGAGCTGAAATGTGTCTTGAACAAGGAGGAATGCACTTTGAAAATTTATTATAGTGAAAATTTTAAGAAATTAGGAAATTGGAAAAAATGTAAGTGCATCGCTGAAGTTATTGATAATTTCGCAATCGCAAATAAATTAGGATCGTTAGATTCGTCAAAATATCCTTTTTTCGGAAAGTACTTGTCAAAAAATGGTCGCCATTTGAAAAATAATAGTTAGACACGAAAATGTAATTTTGCCAACTTGTCTTATTCATATCTATCATACTTGTCACTAAAACTTCGCAATTGTAATTTCAAAAGTGACTCAGAAAAAACTGAGTAGGCATAAATGCTCTCGAAAATATCACATTCTGATCTAGAATTGTCTCAGGAATCAAAAAATGTTACAATATACAGGGTGTTCCATTTAAAAATTTAGAACCGGACCCATTTCCGGTGACCGAAAAGTGAAAAATATGTGAACTCCCCTCTTCACATACCATTAATCTATACCAAATTTCATTTTGATACACCTAATGGTCTAGAAGTTATGACTTGTCTAATAGATTCGTTGACACCCGGTATTGATGTCAACTATACACATGCTCAGAAAATGTCAGGGAATAGGTGAAATATTTTTGCCAGATTTTTAACCAGTTAAATGTCCTGCTGAAAAATATTGTTAGTAGCAAATTCTCATAGATTTTATTGCTATTATCTGATTGGTAAAAGTCCTTGATTATTTATTAATATTGTGAATGTTATTTACTTTGAAGATGTACCTAAAAAATTGTTTTTATTCACATATTATCAGTAATGATAAAATAATTTTTTACAAGGATACTATAATTCAGTAAAATATCAAGGCTTGTATATTATTGATAATTTACATTTTTCCATTTCTGCTATCTTGAACCGTTTATTAAACACTCTTTTGAATAATAATGTTTACATAATTTCAAAATGTTGTGGATAAGATTTTATCTAATTTTTGCTCAAGAAATTGAATTCATTCAGTTCTTCTTTTACATTGAGATTCCAGAAAATAAGTGTCCCTGTTTGAACTATTTGAATCTATTTATGATACTGTGTCACCAATTTTTAGAATAGAAAAAAACAGGAATCATATTTTATTTTTAGCAACTTCTTGGCACATCTCAGTTTTATTGGCAATGATGATCTACTACAAATGATAGGAAGTAATTTTAAGGTACAGCAATAGTTACTGAACAGAAAATGATTTTCACATTTTCACAGATCCTTTGAGAATATCTGGTACATGATTTTTAGCACATTTTTGAACTTACATTAGGTACTGTCAAATTTCGGCGTGTATCAATCAACAACTTATCCTTCCACTGGTCCATAAGTAGTTTTTCCCATAAAGCTGTATCATAGTAGGACTGACTCCAAACTAGGTTGCTGGTGCCCTTCAATGTTGATTGTGTGAAGATTTTGGTACTAATAGTTTTGTAGATATCCACTACTTCATCCAAACTTTTTTGTTTCAATACTAAAAGAATACTAATATTAGCAAGAGCAAAACCAACATACCTGCAAAAAATATGAATTTGAACTTACCTAATAGTGTGGCAATTATAGCTCCAGTGCTGACCCCACAGATGAAATCAAACATTTCATAAATTGGTTTTCCTGAAAGCTCCTGCAATTTCCTGAGCATTTCAATTACTAAAACACCCCTCACCCCACCTCCATCAATAGACAACACCCTAATTCCAACACCTGGTACAGGGTCAGCATGGCCAAGCAATGCAAAAGCTACATTGAGGGCACATAGAAGATTCTGCTCTTTGGTAGATTCCCTGATTCTCAGTAAGGTACGAATACCTCCTTCCTAGAAATTGAATCCATATATATTTTCATCTATTAGGGGAATAACATTGAGGCCCTACTTTCACAGCATTGTGCTTTGCTTCTGGGTATTGAACTAGATGAGAGATAAGGTCTTCAATTCTCCTCAATTTGGTACTATCAGTTTCAGCCAAAGCTAAGGCTGATATCACTTGATTTGTCCTGGAAGTAATGGCTTCCTGCAATCAATAAGATCAGATACCACAAATAATATGTTGATGATAAGAAGCATTCTCATTCATATTGTAACTCACATTTGAGACAACTCTATTACAAGTCTTCCATCTAGGCAAATTATCTTTCTTCTCCTGTTCCTTATTATTACCAATATTGATATTCAGCCCACTCAAAACTGCTGGCAGGGATAATCTACTTTGTTCCTGTTTTGTTTCTTTGTTTTCTTCCTTTTTGGGCATTATTTCTGTCTGTGAGGTGAAATATCTCATAAAATCGGTACCATACGTTTTTGGGTCAACTTTCTGCAAAAACTGAGCAAACTCTTTGTTTAATGCATTTTCGAAAGTCTTATCATTGGTGAACTTGGAAAAATACGATTTGAGTTCATTTATGAGCCTCCACTGGTTCATAACTATGCTTTTAGCATGCATTTTCGCCATGTCTACCACATTTGAAGATCCGGAGTTCAAACGCCTAAAAAGATGGATTATCATTGTGATGATATTATGATATTTTTCTTAATATGGAATAGGAATAATACTACTGGAAATGGCTGAGCCATTCTAAATAAATCAGTTGAATGTAATGAAATCGCCAATTTTACGTGTAAACAGAAAACAGCTGATTTTGACATTCTGTGGATATGGGATTTTGTTGATGCTATCTGGATGCTATGTTGCCAAATAATGCCAACTGTGCAACACAAGCGTGTAGATAGACCAGCGAATCTTTCAAACATCGAGGTCAAGTGATGTCACCTAGAGTCACTGGATAATAGTTTGATCACTTTGTTAATCTGTGGTTTGATAAGAGTTCGGACACAGAAATGACAACAGTTAGGGTTTTTGAATGTTTAGATTTATAAAGTTACACACCTTGCATTGTGACAAGAGCACCATAGTCGTCCGGCGCTTTCTCATTCAAAATTTTTTGAATTTGACAATTCATTATATAAACGTCAGAATTGAAATAAAATTTCCATATTATTATACTTTCGAGATGAAAGCAGCTATGGAAATCACTTGCTGTATAATAAATTGTGCCAATTTTGAAACAAATGGATATCATTTATTCGATTTTCCAAATCAAATATCAAGCATTCGCTTATGGAAGGAAGATATGAAAAGACCTGGGTGGAAAATCAATTTGAAGACGAGCGGAATTCGTGAGGTACTCATTGAATCTCACTTCTTATAACAGCATCTGATTAGAATGAATCTATTTTTTAGGCCCATTTTCAAACAGAAGATTTCAAAATCTGCTGTTTCATCAATTTACAGAGCAGACGATTTCAAGAACAAAATTCCATTATTATCATCACTCGAAATACAAAACAAAATAATCATGGAAAGAGGCAATGATCGTAAAATTACATAATGAAATTGAAAATTTGAAAACAAAACTAAGAAAAGCAAGTAAACTACAACGTGATATATTATTGAATGGCGTTTTGGTGCTGACCGCGAAAATTCAACAGTAGAAAGTAAATAGATATTTATGTATCAAGGGAATTATTATAAGGGCCTTAATTACGCTGGAGGTTATCTTTTTGGAGATATTTTCTATATCGATCCATGTTACTTAGCTCCTAGGGCGCTAAGTGAAGTTGCTGAGAACTTAACAAAACCAAGTATTTGGTAGGTCTCGTCACAATAAATTACTTTTCTCCCATGAAATCTTTATCGAAAAATGATTTGTTCTCTGTATTTCAACACCCTGTATCTCCGAAATAAAGCATTTCCAGACACAAGCTTATATAGACTTTATTTCTTAAAATTGACTCAGGAATACTTCACTTGAGTACACACACACACAATAACGAATCATAGCTATGAATTTATCCATATGTATATATTCTCCGATATTAAAATGTTGTTACATGCATTTTTTTCATTTATATGAATCTTGCTCTGCTAGAAGTGTATCACTATGAATTGAAGTGAGTGTTTGTACCCTATATCCATTGTCCATCTACGGCTATGATTGATTTGACAGAAAATATAACCTCTAAAATCGTATCTGACAATCAGGCGCTGCTAGGGAAATTGAAAAGACAAAGAGCAGAATATATGTCTTATTCTTTTATTAACTTAAACCATTGTATTATAGAAAATAGAAAAGGACAAAAGTTCAGCTGTGTCCGAACTCTTATCAAACTAATACCATCCAGTGACTCTAATGTCACCCACAACACATGATATTTCTTTCTATATTTCGAGAAACTACTACTACTAGGAATTTAAGGGAGCACCAGGAGCATCTAGGAGTAAAGCGATAGCTTATGGTCTGTGCTCCGAACAACAGTGTATCTGACATCCACGTTGGTGACTAGGGTTCAATTCACAGACCACCCATAGGGTGGGTGGTCCTGGTATGTGGTTCAATCCATGCGAGGCGTAATTTTTTTCACTTAATTGATTTTTCAAAAATATTCTTTTTAGGAAAAAGGTTCATTTAGGAAAAGTTAGGTTGAAAGTACTTTCCTTTTTCATGCAGAAGAGATATTTAGGCATCTTAGTATTGAACACGAATAACCTTCTGATAACCTTGAGGTTTGAAAGATTCGCTGGTTTAGCTAGAGGAGACGCTTGTGTAGCAGAGCAGCACACTTGGCAAGTTGGCACACAAGCAAAGCTTGTGCTGCTCTGCTACTGCATTCTGCACTGCTGGTGGTCTGATTATGTAATAAATTCAAGTTTATGTGTTTATCGATCAAATATGATAATAATTCAGTGAAAAGAAATTTTTGTATTATTCAATAATATCTTCAATTTTGTTAAAGAGGTGAACTTCATTACATTCCATACATTCCATAATAATAAAAGAAAATCAACCCCCCAATAATTAATGTGTACGAGTATACGTGACTAAAGACATGCTAAAGACACGTCGTCGGTCGTTAATCGTCTATTATTTGAAATCTTGAATCTAGAATATATATGAATGAAAATCTAGTGAGTGTAGTATCAGCTCACTAGATTTTTTTACATATTTAGCGGACAGTGGTACGATTACGTACAAATATAAGGAAATCAAAATATCCTGTTATTATTTTTTTATCAAAATGGTACAACTCGGGTACAAACCTTTTGCTTTTGATGGGCGAGACTGTTGAGACACGACATCTTCGACAATTTGATAAATTTTTAGTAATAGTCGACATTTTAAAAATGTAACTCATCTACTGTAGCACACAACTTTAGATGCCCCTGTTTTTATCCTTCACTTCACCAACACCAAAAAAAAAATGTCTAAATGGGCCGAATCCACAACAACGATATAAATAAACAATAAAAACTTCAAACTTTTATTAAGTAGGAGTTACGCATAGACAAACCAGTTACGAAACGAAACTTTTAACACGGGTTACGAGTTGCGTCGTTGACCACTCACGTCTCTTGAATATAACTAAAGGAAAAGTTCCTGCTTTGGGCTTTTATAGAAACAGAAACGAAAACATTTTTGCATTGTAGTTGATAAGTAATAATAAGTATATTGGTAGGTAGATAGGTAATGAACAGATCATAGCAATAAAATAATAAAGATGAAACTATAAATAGTCAAAGGCAATGTAGGTAAACAAACCTGTTTACAGTTCAAGGCACTAGATTACATTAGCGACACGTGGCTTCAAAAATTCGCAAAAACAAAACAATTGTCAACAATGTCAACGTAAAATCGTATGATATTTCGTCATAGCATTTACGCAGGAGAATATAAGCCACGCCCCGAAATAAATCATTGTTTTATCAATATCCGTTTTCAGTTTCATTCATGAATATTTATAGGTACCTATTCATCTACTCATGCTCTGAATTTGATGATAACTCAGGAACGAATCCAGGCTATTTTTGAGGGGGCTGAGCAGTCCGGGCTTATCAAGAAATAGGCATTTTATTAATAAGTACTGTAGGTACATACAACTATTCATAAGGTTCGCGAGGATGGACCATCGCTGCCCTATCCGACCCTGTGATAACAAGATTTACAACCTGTATAAAATTACTACAGATGAGTAAATCTTTCATCTGGGAAGGAATACTGGTATACCTACCTAGATATGACCACATATAGTTAACCATGTTGCCATGATGATGATAACAGTAGACATAGATAGGTTACAATTAAACAGATTTTGAAAATTAATTTTAATTAAAGAATATAATAATTCAAGAAATCACAAGTGCAAAAAGTCCATGAAATAATTTCATGAATGTTGAGATAAAGAGAAGACCTCAGGCAGAAAACAACTTTTTCTAATTTTTTGTATTTTCTAGAGTTCACAATTCAAACTTCTGAATCAACTCATCAACTTTGTCATTTGTTCTATCTTCGTTTTCCTTAATGTAATCAAACAATTTCCATAAATCTGAAAAAAATGAATTTGTATACCCTATATATAAGTACATACCTAATAAAATAAAGTGTCATGATTTGGGAAACTAAAACTTACTATTTTTATCTTCACTACTCAAAAACATGGTAATGGCACTGAATCTCTTTACCTCAGTGAAATGATTCAAAATATCAAATACAGAATCCTTATTTTCCACAAAGTATTCAGCCATAACAGCCAAAATGTTGCTGAATATGTTACTGTCTAGGGTATTCAAGAATATTTTGGGTAAATCCTTAGGATTAATATACTTCAAATAAAGATATTTGTCATGAGTATTCTTGAAGTCTTTCCATGTTGAATAAAACTGCACTGAGCTCTTGGGACTGACAAACAGGGTTTCTGCTGATTTTTTACTATCATTCACTGTATTTTTAACATCTTTTGTTATAGATGCTTCCTTTCTTTCAATTATTCTGAAATCATCACTATTGATGTGGAGACTTTGATTTTCAGGTTTTGGCCAAGAAGTGTCCCCTATTTTTTTGTTTTTTTCTACTGCTTGTTCATCTTTCTGTTGTTTGAAAGCAGATGTTGGTCTTTCAACATCTTCAACTATTTTCATTTCCTGTTTCTCAAACACATGTTTTTTAACTGGTTCCTCAATTCTTGTATTTTCAATTGTAGTATCTGATTTTTCTTCCAGTATAATTTCATCTTCTTCTTTTATTTTTATTCTTTTCAGGGGCTTTGTAGACCTCAAATGAGGGGCTTTTTGAATTGGTTTCACTTCTATTACATTGTCATCTGTTCTCCAAAAGGAAATTGGTTTATTGTCTACTTTTTTAGTATCACTAGGAACCTCTTTTGGAAAGATATCATATTGGGAAAAATTGGATTTAGCTGTGGCACCTTGTGGATTTCTAGAAGCAGTGAACTTTGAGATGGGCCTTTGTTCAGGAGGCTGAAAATTATAAGTTTCAGTATTTCTAATATGTGGAATATAACATGATGCTTACTTTCTCCACTTTTTGCTTGAGTTTTTGTCTCAATTTATTCAACTCTCCTAGAGATTCCTTATTTTTTGGTTCTAATTCTATTACTCTCAAGAGATCTGATTCTGCATGTTCCAGTTTATTTAAACTTGTTCTTGCAGCTGCTCTTCTCTGATATGCCTTAACATAAGTTGGATCTAGTTTCAATGATAGTTCACAATCTCTTTCTGCTTCCTCAAACCTATTTGAAATATGATGCAAATGCAAATTACCATGGTACTCATACTTGTGAAACTGCTAGGTATTTGAATAATTGAATATAATGTAGGGTACTTACTTACTGAGCTTGAGGTAACATAATGCTCTATTTGCATAGAAAATTGGATCATATGAGTAACATTCAATTGCTTTGGTGTAACATTTGACTGCCTCATTCCATTTCTGACATTTTACAAACTTATTTCCCTGAAAATAATTTCAAGACTTCACCCTCAATATCAGCTCACAAATGAATCTTGAAAAATATGTAGTCTATATACAATGGTAATACAGGTGAAACCTACTTTTTCTTTTTCAACAATGGCTTCATCAAATATATTGTCATTACATTCATCAGTAAGGTCAGAATCATCTTGTATATCTTCTTCAAGTTTATTCAGCTCAGCATCAACATCAAATTTATCCCATGCTGCATAATCTGTAGAAGTGAACTTAGAAATAGGTTTTTTGGATGTCTCAATGACACTGACTTTCTTTGCTGATTTATGAGTCTTCCTTATTTTATTTGTAGACATTGGCTGCTAAAATTGAAAGTGAAATTATTATTATAAAGTTTTACCGAGAGTACTGTTAGAGAGCCTACTCAGGAGCCCATAAAATCCTCTAGTTCACAACCTAGTATTCAGACACATCAATCACATCATTGTTCATTGTCATATGGACCAAAGACACAATAATTATAATAAGGTCAAGTAGTGTTCAATGTATACCTAGAGGATTCGGCAAAGGCTCAGAGGGCCAAGATTTGCAGTGGGATAGGTGTATAAGGAGCACTAACATTAGCTTCTCCTCTAAGAGCCTCTTCTTTACGTTTCATGTCTTCGCCCCAGTTTTGTAAATCTTTGCAAAAATCTTGCAGATCATTAGCGTTGTCTCGTAAGGCTTTTTGAAGTATTACCGGATTAACACTCATTTTTGGTAAAATACCGGCAATTAAAACACCATTAAAAACTCTTGAGGATTCTTTTAAATATTTTGGTTAATCTTCTTGACAATGACGAGTGACGACTGACGACTATTATGAGTGTTGACATTGACAGTTGATACAGAACTCAATCTTTGCAGAGACTGCATGGTCGATAGAAACATAGAAACCTGCAAATCTGATTGTCATACTACTTGATAGGTGCCGTTGATATAGGACCCTGCAACTCTGATTCTCATGTTGTTTCAGATATTACCTGATAGGTGTCGCTTTAAAGTAGATTTCTGCAATTAAATGACGAAAAGTGCAGTCAACAAAAATTGTAAGACGAATATACTAGATGTTCTCTTTGTTCTCAATAATATTATAGCATCGTGTGGCAGCGTATTACAAAAGCAGGCCACTACAAGAAATATTTCAATAATTTTGAGATGCAATTCAGAATTAGTATAATTCGGAGATGTAAGTCCGAATTATTATAATCCGGAGATATAAGTCCGAATTATTCTATAATTCGGGGATGAAAGTCAGAAATATAACGGATTATAACAGGGGCGGACTGGGCTCAAAAAAGCTAGAGGGCTTGGTGGATCAAAGGGCGCAACAATGAAATGATTATCTGGTTTTTCATAAGGAGGCGTAGCAGTGCACCAGTTTTTTTCCATTTCCAATTCCGAGTTTTAACTCGGAATTCAGAATTGTTACTCAGGATTTCGAGTTATAATTCGAAATTCCGAATCGTAACTTGGAATTCCAAATTGTAACTCAGGAATACGAATTGTGACTTGGAATTCCAACTTGTTACTCGGAATTCCTGATTGTATCTCAGAATTACGACTTTTCCACAGAAGCACAAAATACGAGCGGAAAAATGGCTTTGCATTGGCCCAATATTTATGTATTGTATAAAAAATTGAAGGCATCCTCATTGATATGATTTCATTTCCTTCTCGAACAAACAGATACATTTTCACTATCTGGAAAAATATACAGGGAGCAGAGAAAAGTATTTGAATTTCAAATTGAACCTCCTATATATTTCCTCTTCATTGAAAAGACCTTTTGGAAAGCTTTCATAAAATACTTCTCTCAAAATATTTATGTTCTGTAGTCGGTGTATTCCTCAAAATATGGGTTTATAACTTAAAGAGTTTGATCTATTTTGATAGATTTTTTGATCTTTTACACGTCAAGTCTTTTCTCACATGTTCAGTTAATAATTTCAGGACTTCCTATACTAGGGCAGAGTATGTAAATTCAAATTTCATCAAAAAACAATTTTCATGCATTTACTAATTGTTTGAAATCATCCATTTTCAATGCGAATTCAAATTTGGTTGGTGACGCTGTTTCATGAAAGCAAAAAAGTAGATATTAATTATGTATGCATACATAAAAATAAACGTTGCACAAAATCTGCATTTAACGGTCAGTCTAATAGATTCAAGAAGTATGTAATAAAAATCCCCTTTGAGGCCAGTATTTATTATTTTTGAACTGTCAAAAAAAAAATAGTTCTGTGGTACTTATTACTAAAGCAAAATTCGATATGTTCTTCAAGAAACTGATTTTTTAGGAAACGATTATCAAAGTTTGCGGGGTCGCTGGAATTAAGATTTCATTCAGGTTAATGAAGCGAATAAATTGAAGTACCTATTTCACAATAAGTCCCCTCACCTCTACTAGCAGGACAAGGCAAAATTCTCCTGGATAACGAAATTATTTGTATAAATTTGACATTACGTGTTTTGTCTTCCTCAGTTTCATTGAGCAAATTGCACGCCGACGCCAGAACCCGATATTATCTGATATATTGGGTTTTGCCTTCGACCACTTTTTGTATGAGGAATATATCGCAATCTCATTTCATTTACCTACAAGTTGTTGAAGCTTCATCGGTTTTTGCCATCATATTCTTCGCACCTAACTGCATATATTGGCATTAGAAACGAAAATTTTATGACATACCTATCCGGTTCTGCCTTAGTACCACAGGAGGTGGTTAAGATGTCACACGGCACATTCTCAAATTGATTGAGTAATTAACATTTCATCATGCAAATATGATTCTACTGGGGTCAAAAAAATTATGATGGAATATAGGAAGTAAAATATCTCATACTTTTTAAACTAGGTGGTAAAAACTATAAATTCAAAAATGAAAAAAGTGGCACTTCTGCGCCTTAGTAATGAGGCGCAATGGCGGTGCATTTTTTCTTTCGTTGCTTTCGTGGCATACCAGGGACAGGGGCGCTGCATGGCAAAGGCGCGGTGGGCTTCGCCCTCCCGCCCTCCGGGCCAGTCCGCCCCTGGATTATAATAATTCGGAGATAAAATTCATAATTATTATTATTTGGAGATAACAGTCAGAATTAGGTTATAAATTGGACTTTACTCTCCGGATTATGGTAATTCTGACTGACTTTTATATATATACCTAACTATAGATATATACAGGGTGTTATTCAAGTACGTGGCCAAACTTGAAGAGGTGATTCTTTGAGTGATTCTAAGACGAAAAGTTCATATAAACATAGGTCCGGTAATGCTTCGTTTTCAAGATACAGGGTGTCAAAATTTTTAAAAGAAATCGTTTTTTTCGTAAATATCTTAATAACCCTTCAACCGATTTTATTGAAATTTGGCAGTGTTATTCAAGGTCGTAAAGGGCTAATTTAACCCTAACTATATCAAAATTATCATGTCCAGTGGCGTCCCGGAAGGCACTGTAACCAATATTTTTGACAGAAAAAATGTGCACCACTGAGTTTTTTGCAATTTTTGTATTTGTTTCACATTGAGCAACTAAAATTCAAACTTTTTTATATCCAGAATTTTTTTCGTATCTTGCTTTGTTTTTGAGAAAAAACATAAAAATCACTTCATTGCACATCCTTGTGACGAGCCGAAGCCAAGAGCCGAAGGGAAGTGCTGCAATTCATACATACATATTTTTTGTTTTTTCATTGCATTAATTTTGATAGAGAATTCCAAGACAAGAATAGAGTATTAATATGAAAAAATATTAGTAGGACCCCAGTTTTTGATGGTTTAGTAGTTGAAATGTTTTATTGTGTTGTCACAGGGATGTGCAATGAAGTGATTTTTATGTTTTTTCTCAAAAACAAAGCAAGATACGAAAAAAATTCTAGATATAAAAAAGTTGTAATTTTAGTTGCTCAATGTGAAACAAATACAAAAATTGCAAAAAAATCAGTGGCGCACATTTTTTCTGTCAAAAATATTGGTTACAGTGCCTTCCGGAACGCCACTGGACATGATAATTTTGATATAGTTAGGGTTAAATTAGCCCTTTACGACCTTGAATAACACTGCCAAATTTCAATAAAATCGGTTGAAGGGTTATTAGGATATTTACGAAAAAAACGATTTCTTTTAAAAATTTTGACACCCTGTATCTTGAAAACGAAGCATTACCGGACCTATGTTTATACGAACTTTTCGTCTTAGAATCACTCAAAGAATCACCCCTTCAAGTTTGGCCACGTACTTAAATAACACCCTGTATATGATGATTTTAACTTTTTATCTCCAGAATTAAGATAATTCTGACTCACTTTACATCTCCATATATCTACGAATTATCATAGTTATAGGACTATTATTATCTCCGATTTTTAATCTTTTAGAAGTTATACATATACAGTGGATTACATAATCATAAATTGCTATCTTTTCAGCCCCAAAAAATGGCATATAACGAATAACGAGGTAACACAAATTCAGCCAAACTGAAATGATGACACTTTTGTGTTAAAATGTGCGGTAGGTATACATATAGGCACCGTATAGAAGTGTAAGTTGTCAGCTATCAAGAAGATGCGCTTTCCTTAGACGTATATATTATAGTCCTTTGATTAATTTCGTCCTGACTGAGTTACGAAGTTTTGCACACATGAAAGACGGAGTAGAGGACCCTTGAGGCATCTTTTCCTGAGGTGGTGTAACTAAATCAGCCCTCACTTAACAATTTAATGGAAGTTGTAATGTTGTTGAGACTCTATAAAATTATGATATCTAGTTGGTTAGTTGGTACATCTACTTACACATATGGGTAGTTCGTGCATATCCGGACCACTACAGAGTGGACCATTTAGTTGTGTATTTAAAAAGGATATACTCACAAATATCTCAGGTTGTTGTATTATCATGAAATATTCCCCACTGAATGTTCTGTGGTGTATATTCATGAAATGTTCTGTGTTGTGTACTCAGGGATTCCATTATAATGTTCGAGGAACATCGTTCGTACCTAGGAAGGATATAGATAAGAGAGAGGAGATAGCTATTGGAATTAATTTTTTGCACATTTGGAGGTCATAAGTTCTTGGAAATATTTCCTTTGGTTGAGAATTCAGAAGCTTTAGTATAGAGGCTTTTTGTCGTCGAGGAGTGGAGGGTTGAAGTATGTATCCTATCTTTTTTGCGTCAAACGGTGTCCCCATCAAAATGTAAACCGACGTGTTTCGTTGTTTTTTGAAAAATCATTTTTTCTGAGAGTTATCGAGAGTGGATGCACTTTAGGATAAGTAAAACGTTAAAGCAAAGAGAAGGAAAAAAATAAATAAATGCCAGTTTACTATATTGTTCTAAACACATTACACTTTTGTTGCATCCATATCATGTTATATTTTTATGATGAAATTATTGAAAATAAATTTCTAAATTTAGCTTATTGCAATGAAATTTACTTTGAATCCCAATAGGGCTTTGAAGTATAGGTATACCCTTTAAATTACCATTTTCGAGAAAGAAGTGATACTTCAAATCCCTAGGGTTTTTTAAGTACCTGCACTTTTTTCCCTGAAAATAGGGAATTGAAGTACTCTATAAATTTTCTAACCAATTGCCTTGATTCTTATACAAACTCTAACGGTACGTTAAAGAATCAATAATTTTGCACCTATATATACAAATTCCGATAACTGTGAAGATAAAAATGATGACTTCAGATAAGTGTTTAGTTTGAGTAGAAATTAAGTACATTAACAACCCCTTTCATTAATATTAATTCATCTTGTAGTGAGTGCTGGACATTCCATAAATCAAGTTTCCGATGGT